ATAACACAGTGGTGGCGTCCAAGTGAGCAAAGGTGGTAGCAGGGGCAGGATCTGTCAAGTCATCAGCTGGCACATAGATGGCCTGCACAGAGGTAATAGAACCTTTCTTGGTGGTAGTGATACGCTCCTGCATAGTACCCATGTCAGTGGCCAAAGTAGGTTGGTAACCTACAGCAGAGGGGATACGACCCAGCAAAGCAGACACCTCAGAACCAGCCTGAGTGAAACGGAAAATGTTGTCAATGAAGAGCAGCACATCTTGACCTTCCTGGTCACGGAAGTATTCGGCGACGGTCAATCCAGTCAAAGCGACACGGGCACGCGCGCCGGGAGGCTCGTTCATCTGACCGTACACAAGCGCTACCTTGGATGTCTTGTCCGTGAGGGAAATGACACCAGACTCGATCATCTCGTGGTACAAATCGTTACCTTCACGGGTACGCTCTCCTACGCCGGCGAACACGGAGTAACCACCGTGGGCTTTGGCGACATTGTTAATAAGTTCCATGATAAGTACGGTCTTACCGACACCGGCACCGCCGAAGAGACCGATCTTTCCTCCCTTGGCGTAGGGCGCAAGCAGATCTACGACCTTAATGCCGGTGACAAGAATCTCCTGCTGCACAGACATGTCAACGAACTCGGGCGCATCAGCGTGGATAGAGGCAGTCTTGTCGGTCGGGATGGGACCGCGCTCGTCGATTGGCTCTCCGATGACGTTCATGATACGGCCCAGAGTCTCGACACCGACTGGGATACGGATGGGAGACCCGGAGTCGAGGACGGGCTGTCCGCGGACGAGACCTTCGGTACCGTCCATAGCGATGGTACGTACGGTGTTCTCACCCAAGTGCTGCGCCACTTCCAGGACGAGCCTGGGGGAGCGGTTCTGTACTTCAAGGGCATTTAGGATAGGGGGAAGATTATCCTCAAATTGTACGTCTACGACAGCACCGATAACTGCGACCACCTTACCTTGCCCTTTTCCAGCGGCTTTAGCAGCATAATCACGTCTGTTCACTAGAGCTCCGGCAACCAAAGGTGTCTTCTCAGCCAAGGAATTGTTGACTACCGCCCTCGTGGCCAAAAGACCAGCTCTACCAACGGTAGAAAACATGTTCGATTTTCAAAAGTGCTCGTGGGAATGTACAGTGTTCGAAAATTCTTTCAAAAAATCGGTGCTTGTCGAAGTTTACGTAAGAGGAATAATGACCATAGTGTAAAAGTATTTTTTTATTTCATGTTTCCAGTTCCGTTTTTCACAATTAGATGGTGTCTATGGTTAAACAGTGCATGGTAATTTATAAATATGATAAATAATAATATTTAGGTATAATATATGTATTTAAAAAAAACTAAAAATATTTTTGCTTGTTATATTACGTATAAAGAAGAAATAAATTACTGTACGTAGCACTTTTAGTGATAATATGTAAGTTTAGTTCTAGTGGTGGTTATTGTGTATTACTCCACTTTAAGTTACTTTTACATATTTATGCAAAGAATTTAGATGAGTATGAGACAGTCTGAGACATACACGTTTCATCCTTGCCGCGAGATGTACATACTCGTATGTATGTCTCCGACTGCATAAGTCCGGTTTTTTATTTTTATAATATATATTTTTATTTACAGCTTTTTAGGTATTTTAAGTAGGAAAATTGGCGAGAATGGTTGTTAACTAACTTTAAATCATTATATATCCTAAACTGTTATTTAAAATCAAAAATGATGACAGAAACCTAAAAATTATTTTTAAATACCTATTCAACGATATCCAACTTCTTTTTCACGTTATGGAATCTAGCAGCTCCCATATTTATTTATTATTTATTTTACCTGTCTAAGAACACTTGAATAATGAGAGGAATCTAATGATACCTTAAGTAAAGAAATCCATCTAGTGGCTTGGAAGATATGATTGAATAAACAATATTACAAACATACAAAGATAGGCGCGTAGGCCCCTTTCCTTGCAGTCGGGTAAAAATGTTGTATTCAGAATTTAAGCATCATTTTCAATAATTGTTTATTCTAACAACTTGAAACGAGTTGTAATTTTATATAATACTAGTGACTAACCCTTGCTTCGCTCGGGTGCGTCCCTAGGTAAGTAACGTTGTTGTAGTTTAATAGATCTTTATGAGAGGAATAATTCCGTAGTATTATTGTTTTCATATAACTCTATTGGTTTACGCGGAGGACGCTGATAAATCTCCCAGTCGGCATAATTGTTTCCGACATCTTCCACATAGTTATCGTCATATTTCAGCCAATTTACACAAAAACTTAATTAATTATATACATAAGCCTCCCTCATAACTCACTCTGACAAGTGGTGAAAACTGCATGAAAATCCTTTCGGTAGTTTGAGTTTATCGCGATCAGACAGACAGACAGACGCGGTACGGCTCTTTATTTTATAACTAGTGACTCACCCTCGTACGTACGTTTTAATTTTTTTGAGCGGAATCCTAATTCTTTTTCTAACATAAAAGTAGCCTATGTTACTCCTTATAACATCAGCTATCTTCTAGTGAAAGTCCCGTCAAAATCAGTCCAGCCGTTTCAGAAATTATGTGGAACAAAAAGGCAGACAGGCAAACAAAAATTTTGAAAATTGTGTTTTTCTTATAAGTACCGTACAAAATTTCATATGCATTTAGTAAAACGCTGGTAATTTCACATTATAAACAGGCACTTCAATTTTATTTATCTGTATAGATGTATAGATTTAATGATGTGTAAGTTTTATATATGATTCCAGCACTGTCGTTGTAAGTCGGTACGCCGTAGGGAGGCCATCTCTATATATTTTGTGGTAGGGCCTAACAGGCTGAACCATTTATCATTCGTGACTCTTGGTGAGGTGAAGTCTTGTGTTTTTTTCTCTTTATTGTAGTTATTCTTAGGTTTCATAACGTTGACCAGGACAATATTAATAGCCAAAAGTTTAATTGTGCGAGTAACTACTTTTGTCATTTATCCTATAATGTGACCAGTCTTTACTATAGACGAATAATCAGTACTAATATTATAAATATGAAAGTTTGTGAGTGAGAAGAAGATGGATATTCGTTACTCTTTCACACCAGAACGGCTGATCAGATCTGGATGAAATTTGGCATTAAGGTAGATTATAGTCTGGAATAGCACATAGGCTACTTTTTATCCCGGAATAAATGTTCCAGATCAACAGACACAAATCTATCCCACGGTTCCCGTGGTCAGATTTGTGTCTGTTGTTCTAAAAATTATAAAAGACAAAAGTCTCTATTTAGTCTGTGGGTGCCAGCCACAACGAATGGGGAAGATTTGTTGTAAGGAGGGCGCTATAAGTATGACCTATTTACATTCAGTCTGAAGTGAAGCAATTTGGTATGGTATGGTATGGTATAAAACGGGCTTGTTTCCGCAACTCGACGTCTGCGCGCCTATTTTGCGTGTGTGGGAAATTTTCCAAATGTTTATTCTTGCCAGCCCAGTTCCTCCAGGAACTTCGGCAGTCTCTTCGTCCTACCGAAGACCTCCGGGAGTGTACTAGGGGAGCCAAGATGTTGAGCCCGGTACGCCGCTACACCTGGACAATGTAAGATTACATGTGCAGCCGTTTCATCTGCCCTCATGCAGGCTCTGCAGAATGGGCTGTCAGTTATACCTAAGTTAAATAGGTGTTTGTTGTAGGGTCCGTGGCCTGTTAGAGCCGCGGTAGTGGAGCAATTTATTATGATGTGTATCCTTTTTTACCTGGTTTTTTGCTTTTATTGTGTTCCCACTTCCCATCTTACCTGTGTAATGTATTGTACCTGGAAGTTAGTCCACTTGAAGGAAGAATTGAGAAGGAGAAGTGCATCCTGTGGTATCCTGACTGACTGATGGATTAATACACAGCCTAAGCCACTGGTCTTAGAAACGTGAAACTTGGAGAAAGTCTTCCTTATATGATGTAGGCATCTGATAAGAAAGGATTTTTCGAATTTCATCCTCTAAGTGAGTAAAATAGGGGATTAATGATTATATGACACAAAAAAGGTGGTGTTTGGTTTTATGATAAAAAAATAATAAATATATTTATTTGACTTTTTTGAAACTCGTCCCTTAAAGGGGTGAAAGGGGGTAATAAAGTTTATATGGGCAAAGAATTATCTATAATCAGAATTGAAACTTGGTATTAATATGCGTAGCATCTCTATATAGTTTGTGGTATTAGCATTTTTCAATTACATACGTGTTTAGCATTTTTCGAAATTCAATTCCATAAGGGGGTTAAATGGGGGATGAAAGTTTGTATGAAACTCTGTAATTAATATGTAAAAATGTACAAAAAATAAAAATAAAAATTCACTTAAAACTTAAACTTAAAAATCACTTTCTGTAAAATGGTTTCCACATAGCCTTAAATGTAATGATTGTGATGTTGCCAATTTTGGTCGTCTCATTGCTTTACTCCACAATTTCTTCAGTTTTTGTCTTTTGGGGACAAATTATATCCATTTTCTTTGCATCCTGGCCTTGCACAATTTAGCACTTGGCAAAAAAATCATTCTATTTAAAATTTAATAAATAAAATGAAATAAATCCCATCCACGGTATAAAGCTTCAAAAATCACAATATACTGAGGATAATAGTGATCGCGACATCTTGAGGGAGAAAACGGTCTATCAATCGCAAACGACACTTATCTACTGTTGAGCATAAAGAGTAATAGAGATTTATATCTTTGGAGTAGCATTTCTATATTTAAAGAAATAGCATCGATGAGAAATAATTAATAGACTATATAGTTTTATTCGTCATCTATTGGCATGAGCCAAGGACTATAATTTATGTCTATGGTTGAGCTAAGCACTTTCAATTGTTTCCTGGTCTGTGCCTTTAATTGTCAATTGTCATCCATGATCCATGTTAAACACGTTGAGTGTTGACATAAAATCTTTCCTTTTTAAAAAATAAATAAATTTGAATCCTTTATTATATATACAATATTAAATTCATAATAATGGAGTATATATCACCAGAAAGTGACCTAAATCCAAGTGATGCTCGAATGTAAGTATTAATTTGTATTGCATGATATATAAAATCATCCTAAAGGTTAGGTTAATTTAACATTAAAACTGAAGAGATTTTACATGATTACACTATAAGTTAATATCGTCATCTCCTTGCCCAATTTCGAGTTACTTGGGGTTGGCGCAGTACATCTTCCGTACTGCTGATAGGATTTGGCAAAAGTTTTACGACCGGCCGCCTGCCCGACATTAACCCTCCTTGGGAATACATATTTACATGATTGCTGCGAAACTATTTAATTTGTTTTAACTTGAACACATTATGTTTTATTGTTTTCAGATTATGTTGTCAATGTGCAGTGCCTATAGAACCAAATCCTTCTAATATGTGTATTGCTTGTTTGAGAACTCATGTGGATATCACTGATGGTATCCCAAAACAAGTAACTTTATTCTTTTGTCGGGGTTGTGAAAGGTATATAACCTATATAAAATATTTTTACTAATTTACTTATAAGTAACTGTCACATAAAAAGTCGATTGTAGTGTTTAAATATATTTTATGGTACCTACTTACATGAATACTATTATTAGAACCCTTAGTTCTCTAAAGAGAGAAACATTTCGAATATTATAATATTGTTATGTAAATGAAATAAATATTATGTTGTATTTTATGCAATAATAGTAAACAATAATGTAGAAATCAGTATTCAATAAATATTAAATAATTATATACTATTTATTCTAAATCATTCATTCTTTTTATTTAATGATTATTATCAATCTCAAATAGAGTTAGTTATGTAGAAGAGATAGTTAATTTATTAGAATATTTAATTATTTATTTACTCCCTTTCTTTAGAAAACTAAGATTAGAAGATATCAAAAGAATTTAAGAATTATCAATTTTATTGATATATTAATGTGTTTTAGATACTTACAACCTCCAAATGAATGGTTGGTGTGTGCACTAGAATCACGTGAATTACTTGCTTTATGTCTAAAACGGCTCAAAGCTCTTAATAGAGTGAAGCTGGTTAATGCTGTATTTGATTGGACTGAGCCACATTCTAAAAGAATTAAAGTAAGTATTACTCTGTGTAATAGTCACTTACCACTTTTTAATTTTGGCTTAAGTTTATTAAGTGTTATTGAAGACATACAATTCATGTAAGTTATACACTTAAAATCAACTAATAAATGGGTTACAGGGCTGATGTTTAGATGTTAAGAAAAGTGGTTCACATTTTTGAATAGTGGAAGCTTAGAGAATTGTAGATAAATTATACTTGTTTCAGGGAAATGAAAGAGATGAATGTTCAGAAGGGCTTATGTTACAACAATATTATACTATTTATTTTTAACTACCTTATTTTTAATTGACACTTCAAAACATTAACACTTGCAGTGCTTTTTTTAAATTCAAACTTAGTGACAAATCCAAAAACCACTGACTGACTGACTGACTGACTGAAGCTTCTAATAGAGAACCTAGAAACCCCCTGTGCTGTATGTTCAATTTTGCTTTGCAGGCTGTGTCGATTCTATAAACTAAACTTATGTTAGCTATAGCATAAAAAGGTGATTTCCTCTATTAAAATGTTATATAATTTGTACATTATATAATTAACCAGTGACTTACTCTGCTTTTCTCGTGTGCATGCCTAGGTATGTGGATTAAATTCACAATTTCATTGGGTTAAATTTTTTTATGCCTTGATTCTTTTTCTAAAATAAAATTAGTCTATGTTACTCTTTATAACATCAGCTATCTGCCAGTGAAGGTCCCATCACAATCGGTTAAGCTTAGGAGATTAGCCAGAACAAACATCAAAAAATTTAAATATATTGTTTTCTTATAAGTACTATATCTACTACTTTCAAAAGTTTATTTAGTTAAAAGCTGTTATTTAGACATTACAAACAGACAATTCAATTTTATATATTTGTGTAGATTATATGTATAGATAAACAAAAGCTAGACACTTGATTTTTTTTTACTTCACTAGGACAGTACAATATTAATAGCCAAAAGTTTAATAGTGCGGGTGACCTCTTTTGTCATTTATCCTATAATGTGACCAGTCTTTACCATGGTATCCATGAATTTTTCTACACATTTTACACATATAAAAACAATGAAAATACTTTTACAGGTTTCTCTGACAGTACAAGGGGAAGTTATGGGAGGAGCGGTACTTCAGCAATCATTCTTGGTTGAATATGTTATTCAGCATCAAATGTGTGATGCGTGCCATCGCTCGGAAGCGCAGGACTATTGGCGTGCACTAGTGCAAGTTAGGCAAAGAGCAAATAACAGAAAGACCTTTTACTATTTGGAACAGTTGATATTGAAACATAAAGCACATGCTAACACACTTGGGATCAAGCCTAAGCATGGTATGATTATTTTTTGAAATAATAATTATTGGCTGCAGCTTAGTATATGGGACGCGGCCCCTGGAGGAGTGGGTGGTATTTTTGGTTAGGGGAGTCCAAATATATAAAAATTATTTTGAGGAAACAAAAGAGTCAAAAGTTATTGATGAATGACAAATACAGGAATATTTTTAATTTTAATTATAATATAATAGTTTATGATAATATACTCATATTATGAGGAGAAAAGATTTTTTTGTTGGTTTGTTTGTTTGTGCTGAATAAGCTCCGAAACTACTGGACCAATTTAGATGAAATTTGGTAATAAGATAGTTTGAGACCCTGGAAAGGACAGAGTGAAAATGGGGATGAAAGTTTATATGGGGAATCAACCTATGGACGAGGCCGTGCGAAGCGAGGATGAGTCACTAGTCATAATATTTTTTGTCAATTAGTAATTGGTTTTAGTATTGTTGAAGAGCAAAATATTTCTCAAGAAAGATAAAGAAAGTTACCATATTTTTCTAACAATTTATATACATATATGTGTTATAATTTATAACATTTTTAACTACAGTAGAATCTGCTTATAATGACATCAAAGGGCAGTGACAGACGGGTCATACTAAGCAAAACGTCATACAAAACATAAGTGTTAGAAAATAAATAATTATGTTAGGTATTTCGTTTAATAGAAAGTATAACTACAAATTTTATGTGTGCGTATCTATTTAATAAAAAAAAAGAGACACGATTTGACACAAAACATAAATGTATGTATTTAAAACGATAAAAATTGTACATGTATACATTACATAATATCTATATATATAAAAGAAAGTCGTGTTAGTTACACTATTTATAATTCAAGAACGGCTAAACCGATTTGGCTGAAACTTGGTGGGGAGGTAGCTTAGAACCAGGAGACGGACATAGGATACTTTTTAGCCCGTTCGACTGCGTTCCCGTATACAAGACTCAAGAACGGCTGGACCAAATTTTATGATATTTGAATTTTTGGATTTCTCTCATTCCGGAATAGGTTAATACCTAAGTATTAAAACGTCAGAAAAATTAACGAAAAAAAAATATTTATATGGCTAATAACACTGGCTAATAACTATTTATATCTATTTAAAACGTACCTAGCGACGAACCCGAGCGAAGCGAGGGTGAGCCGCTAATTTTTTACATAAGAAATCAATCATTTTGTTTTTTCTTTAGACTGTTATAACAGTACCGAAAAGTATTGTGTAAAGAAGACACTGCCTTGGCCAAATTTTCATTTTCGATATATATACAAGCAAAGGTGTTAGGAATCATGTTGGTCACTATGACCGAACATAATTTCTTAAAAATAGGTCATAATATGCGACATGTCACTATAAGAAAAGTCATTATATCGGACTTTATTGTAAAGAATTTTATATGAAAACCAAACTTCGCACGTAATTACGTTAAACAGTTGGTCAATATAAACGGAGTCATAATAAATGGATTTCACTGTATTTAATAATTATTCTGTTTGCAGATGGTTTGGACTTCTTCTATGCCACTGAAAGTCATGCAAGAAAGATGGTTGATTTTATCCAATCAGTTTTACCAATTAAGTGCCAGCATTCCAAAAAACTTATATCGCACGACATTCACAGCAATATTTACAATTACAAATTTACCTTTAGTGTGGAAATAGTGCCATTGTCAAAAGACAGTATTGTTTGCTTGCCAAAGAAATTGACTCAAAATCTTGGTTCGATATCTCCTATTTGCTTAGTGCAGAGAGTAACAAGTGCAATACATTTGATTGATGCATACACAGGACAAGGTAAAAACAGTTTATTATTATATATTGAGCCCTCTATGGGATAGTGATGAAATTATTTCTAATCGAATATGTCTGAAAATGCTATAACACAATTATATTATATTCATATTTTTTTTTATTTATTATCTTTGAAATAAAGTATAGTTGCATTGCGTATGTATTAACTTTTTGTTGGATATAAAATTTTCAATAATGGTGTGTTTTGTAATATTAATTATACCCATAAACTCAGAAATGTCTCTCCATAAAAAAATGTAAATAAATGTTTCAATTTGAATAAATAACTTTTTTATTTATTCTTTTCAGTTTGTGACCTATCTTCAACTCAGTATTGGCGTTATCCATTCAACGCCATATGCAATCCAAAGCAGCTTGTTGAATACATTGTTATGGACATTGATATATTGAAAGAACATGTATGTATACAATTTTATATATTTCTCGTTATATATTTTTTTGTCCTGGGGTTACTGTTTGAATAACAAAAGCGTATTGTGATATTTTTCTATGCGAACTTTATATATATAATACGTTCGTCAGTGAGCTAATGAAACCCGGTGTGCATATTATGCCCTTTTATCAGCGCTGACTACACTGCGTACGTTTGCGGTGCTTTAAAAAGTCACAATGTGTATAGACCCTTATTCCTTATAGCTCTAAGGGTGACATACAAAGCAATTTTTAATAAAACTATCTTTTCGGAATTTTTTGCGGATTTTTTGATTTTTGGTTCCCCACGTTTCGAATGCTTTACAGCAATCATGGTACACGGGAGAGACTAAGGTTTTAAATGTCTCGAAGGCATTATATAGTCGTTACAGACAAAAAATCCGAAAAGATGGTTTCATTTAAAATGTCAAATATTAGAAAATTATTAATTTTCTTAGATTTATAATTATTATTATTAATCTAAGAAAATGATATGTAAAGCGATGTTAAAGTATGTGCACCTTTTTAATTAGTAAGTAATTATGTTAACTTACTTAATTCCATTTTAAGTCTATATTTTATTTATTGTACTACAGGAAAAGAAAACATTCCCTGGTCAAGGTATGGTCTCGAACAAGCACGTTCTAGCTGACGTGTGGGTTGTGAAAGCGAGCGAGCTAGGCTTGGACAGCAATCCTGTTCACACTAAAACTCATTTAGGCCACATATTGAAACCCGGGGACAGTGTTTTAGGGTAAGTAAATATAATTTATACAAGACCTTGATATATTTAATTACTAGAAATTATTAGGATGCGTTCCTAGGTACGATTTTGTTCACTATTTGATAGGTTTTAATTCTGAAAAAAATCTAAAATAAAAGTAGCCTACGTTACTCCATATAACATCAGCTATCTGCCAGTGATTGTCCCGTGAAAATCAGTCCGTTTCGGAGATTAGCTAGAATAAACCGACAGACAGACACAAACATTTTAAAAATTGTGTTTTTCTTATTAGTACCGTATAGTAATTTCATATGCATTTAGTAAAAATCTGTTTTAATTTTGACATTACAAACAGCCACTTTATTGTATTTATCTGCATAGATTACGCAGCAATTTGTGCCTACATATATTATATATTAGCATAAAATGTTACACGAGTCTATTTAAAAATTTTAATCAAAAAATATAAATTTGGTTTATTGTAGATACAATTTGGCGGAATCCAACGTGAATGACGTGAATTTGGACAAATTAGACCGCAGTGTTGTACCTGATGTGTATTTGGTGAAGAAGTTCTATGGAGAGAAGGCGGCTAGAAGGCGCGCTAGAGGATGGAAACTACGACACATGAATGAAGACGTCGTACAGTTTAGTTCTACTACTGATGAGTAAGTTTTTACAAGCTTTTATTTAACTTGCAATGTTTGTAGGTATGTTTGTTCGGGTCAAATCTTGCAATTGAATTTTAAAGCAGTTATCCTCAATTGATTGAGCTGAAATTAGATGATATTGCATGATTACATAAGTGACGTCATTCTAAATCCAACATGGCGAACTATGTTTTTTTATGTACCCACATGATATAGATACTAAATGAAAGGGTTTGCTGAGAAAAATACGAATAAATACGTAAAAAATAGAAAATAAACTAAATTAAATCAAACCTGATTATTACATTACACAATTTATATGATATAAAAGCTTGTTGTTTAATTTTTTTTTTCAAATTAATTTATGTTCATTTTCTTTTTTTAAACAAGTTTTTAGGTTTCTGTAACTTAAGATTCAATATGGAACTATACTTAGCTTAAGCCATCCATCTGTTCGATCAAAGTAGTTAGGAGATGTATCCCGCTGGGGGTATTCATTTGTGTGATGAGCATGAATGTTTGTACTCGAGTCATGGTTGTTTATATTTATAATATGTATGTATTTAAAGCTATATGTGTGTAGTGTATAAACTATTTGGTATCCATAACACAAGCCTCGTAGCTTACCATGGAACTATAAGGTGCTGCGTGTTATGTCCCAACGTAATATTTATTTATATATTTTGAACCGGCTATGTACCAGTTTAAATTTACATGGAATAATCACTGCCCAATGTCCATACAACAAACATTTTAGTGATTGTAAAATGATAACATATGCAAAGATTGAATGTGGTAATATTATATAGTAAGTAACAACAAACCAATGCAAAGTAATTTATTTATTTATTTTTGGGAAACAAACAGTACAATATTACATAAATAATAAATAATAATAGATAACACATAAACCAATGAAGTTTCCACATATTAAAAAATACAAATAAGAAGCAGACCACAATGAAAATAAAAACAAAAAGTTAAACACTAAACTAAAAATTTACAAAAAGAAACACTGATTAACATGAATAATAAAAAATAATATATAAAATAATAAAAAATATTATATAATATATATATAAAAAATATAAAAAAATAATATATATATAAAATCGTTATGCATTTTAAATTTAAATTGAGTTTGGGTTTTTTTACAAATTATATGATACCATGTAATCAGTGCAAATCTGTTAATTATTTTTATAAGATAATATTTATTTGTAATGAAAGCCAATTAATTGTCTTATTACCTATACAATAGATTTGATTTATTATTATTTTATGGTTTTTACAAATTATCGTCTATCTAATTGCCGACATATTCTTGTATGCGACGTCATGTTGTGGTTGAATATGAAATCTATACTATTCTAAAGAGGTAAGTTTGTGACATTGTAGGGGGTAATCTACTATACCGATTTAGATGAAATTTGATAAGAAGATAGTTTGAGACCCTGGGAAGGATATAGGATACTTTTTATCCCGGAAATCATCCCTTAAGGGCGTGAAAATGGGTATGAAAGTTTATATGGAGAATCAACCTAGGGACGCTAGTGGGCTATAAATTTATTTTGTGAACTACTGAACTACTTTTTTTATCTACAGTCTATTTAACTGTATATAAGATTATATGGGAGTATACAATAACAGGTGAAATATTTAATTTTTAAATAGATAAACGAGTGTTAAAATCAGTGTTGGAAACATAGTTTCTTTTTAATGGTTCAAATATAAAATAATTAACAATAGGTACACACATTTATAAGGCAATGTAGCTATGGAGTACATTATAGGGATATTTAATTGAAGTTTGAAGAAATTTATTTTGTTTGTGATTAATTACAGTGGACTTATCGAACTTAAAGATAATATCTAGTATTCTTTATTCACGTAATCTATTAGAAGCGTTCCTTATTATATTAACACAATATAAACGTAAGATTTGTTTGTACGTATATGATTATTTTATATTATATATGTATAATATTATATATATGCGAAAGTAAAATTATGTCCATGTTAAAAATTTTACTTATGTCATTGAGATTGTTTAAAAGATCATCTATTACAACTTTTACCTACAGCTTCAAATCAAAATTCCCTCTATTTAAATACATTTTTACAAGTACTTTTGAATCGTCGATGTCTACATTTTACAATTTAAATTAAATCACAATATGTAAGTCCATGAGAAAACTACCACTGGCTTGGATGGCAGTTCTGCTGAGAAGAGCAGACTAGAAATTAAATAGTTCAGAATATAAGATTTTATTGCCATTCCAAATTTTGTTTAAATCGTATACGTAAAAATAGCCTATATTTTTAATATTCATTATACGTGTTGTGGACTGTACGTGTTTTTACTCCAGGTTATAGTTTATTTGTGTACTTTTCATCCAAGTTCGTCCACACGCACATACAGACTCATGTATATTGTCCAATAAAACATTTTAACTAATTTATTATTCCTTGTTTATAGCGATTACAACGACTTCTTGGACGATTTAGAAGAGGACCCAGCTCTAAGGCAGAACATCAATATTTTCAAGGACGAAAACAAAATACCCATAGACACTGATGAAATAGACCCGTCTCTGCCAAGAATTACTTTGGCCGAAATGTTAGACGATTTGGTCATTGAAGATGTTGATATGACAGAAGTTTAAACAAATATATAAAACTTGTAATCAATAAGCTTATTGGTTTTTTTTAACTTTGTGAAATATTTACTTTATTTATATATGATATAGAGGTTTTTTATTTGGAATATTTCTTCTTATAAATTAGGTTCGGTTAGTTTGTTTACAATATCTTGTGGTGTTTTATAACTCAAGTAAAATGACTTCAATAATTCATATTCTAAACAGTGGAAAATCAATTATGATAATTAAATAGCATACTTCGCTCCTAATTTCTTTGCAAAAAAAGGTTATAATTTTTAAAAGGACCAAAGATTACATTGTAATAGTTATTTCGTAATAGTTGAATCGTTTCGTATAAAATCTTCGGAAGGTGTCACTTTAATTGCTCCATTCTTTATGCTGTCGGCCGCTGCATGCGAAAATGTACTTTAAGGTAAGAGCGTTAAGTTAAAATTGCATTGGCTTTATTTACAGTCAGTATAATGAAGTCTAAGCGGCCTGTTTCTATAAAGGGATTTGAACCTTTTAGGCATTATATTTTTTTTCTTTCGCCAGTAATAAAACTTATAACTAGAAGTCTATGTAAGAAGTCTATATAAGAAGAAACCAATTAATTAAACCGAAACGATCAAGAGATATTGTGCTATTCCTTTTTATAAGGCGTTATCTATACAGATAAATACAATTGAAATTTCTTTTTGTAATGTCTAAATAATAGTTTTTTTGTTAAATGCATATGTAACTTTATACAGTACTTATAAGAAAACCACAATTTTTTAATTTTTTGTCTCTGTCCGTTTGTTCCGGCTAATCTCCGAAACGACTGGATTGATTTTGATGGGATTTTCACTGGCAGATAGCGTATGTTTTAAGGAGTAACTAAGGTTACTTGCATTTTAGAAAAAAGAACTAGGGTTCCGCTCAAAAAAAAATAAAACATATTCAAGGACGCACGCGACCGAAGTAAGGTTAAGTTGCTAGTGATATATATTTTGATTATAATAATTAATAGTTTATATTTAAGATAATATGATCGATCATGGATTAGGTACAGATAAACAACAGTTCGTACTAACATGGCCAGTAGTGCCGTATCCGTATACAGCACACAATGCGTGAGACAAACGTGCTATAGGTTTTTTGTAAATAACTTCGCGCGTGTGTACTTATATAAAGCCTGCAAAACCCTTATCGTTCATTGAGACATCAAACTGTCGAAATGAAAGTGTTTATTATATTTTTGTTACTGGGTTCTACTGTTGCAACAGAGTTTATATCTCCAGGTAAGATATTTTGAAGTTTTTTTATCCATACCAATTAATAAGTATATTCATTCTAATAAATAGGCAATTTAATTTGAAAGGAATATTCATACTAATATCATAAATGTGAAAGTGTGTTTGTTTGTCTTTTATTCACGTCGAAACAGAGTGACGGATTGGCATGATTTTTACCGCGGGAGATTTTCTAATTCCCACGGGAAAACACGTTATAATACAACACAAAAAATATTTATGATCAGAATTACTTGAAACTTGGTATTAATGCTCTTCAAAACAATTAAATAAATACGTGTTTTGGCATTTTCCGAATTCATCCCATAAGGGGGTAAAACTGGGAATGAAAGTTTATATGAAACCTACCTTTTTAGAGTTTTTTTGTAGTTTTAGCGCGAGCAAAGCCGCGGGTTCTGCTAGTAAATTATAAACATATGGCATAAATAGTATTTTTTTAAATATATTTAGAATCTATTATTATTTATCAAATTTTTGATTGAATAAATACTGAGATGACTTAGAACCGTTTAAAATTTGATTTATATATTAACATAAATGCTAGATGAGATAAGATCCTCTTACAATCTCTTTTTTTAAGTGGATGATAAAAAAGCCCATGGATTTGAAAGTATAGGGCCAAACTTGAATAGGATTCAAACAACTATTGTTAAGTGACGTAAGGATAATCTCATCGCGCAACAGAAAATACCGCTTATGTATTTAGGGAATTGATTACCAATAATTCGGTTTTGCTTATTGAGAGCTATAAAATAAACTTAATTTTTGCCTTTTGGTTAAGAAAACCTAAAATAATACGTTTTCGTCAGATAGGTAGGTGCTTTTTTCTAAAAATGAAACAACTTTGTTCAATATTTTTGTGTTTTTAGATGAACTAGAAGAACTATTCTATAGAGCTGGTAAGAATGAAGCCTCAGAAAATGATATAAATACACTCAGAGATGTGTTTGAAATATACAAGCCAGGGTCAAAGGCGTATGGGCGACTAAACCAAGCTAGTAGCCGAACAGTAAGATTTATCATTTTTATAGTTAAAATTACTTTGCGGTCGTTAAAAATCAGTCAATTGTGAGTCGGACTCGCACACGAAGGGTTCCGTACCATAATCGATTCCTTTTTAATTCGCCATCTAGGTTTTTTATTACTTAATTTTAATAAAAATTTCAACTCTCTACCTATTACGATTTATGAGATACTTACCTCTGACAGACGGACAGCGGAGGCATAGTAATAGGGTTCCGTTGGCACCCTTCGGGTACGGAACCCTAAAAATAATATGAATTTAAGACAATAATACAAGCCAATTTGTTTTTTTAATAGGTTCATCTTACATCTTTATTTTTTTTAAATTGCTAATTGCTACCCAATAATTTCAGTTATTTTTGTGTGTTGTTCGTAGAGGAAGATAAATGAAGATAATGTTCTTAAAGTAGAATAAATGTAGGATACCTATTCGTAAATCAATAAATACATTCGCAATTTTGATTAGTAGGGAATTTCGTCCGTGAACTTCTGAGATCTTCTTACTACTTAGAAACAAATTTTACTGAAGAAACCTAAAATGAATTTAAATTTAATTCGTGGAGAATTTTGGTGAAACAAATAAGTAGTTATTTGGTATTTACGTCTTTTTATAATATCATAATTAAATGCAGTATAAAATAATATATTTCCATACTAATATTATGTGAAAGTGTGTTTGTTTGTTTGTCCTTCTTTCACGTCGAAACAGAATGACGGATTAGCGTGACTTTTTGTGTGGAGATAGTTGGAGGGCTGTAGAGTGACATAGGCTACTTTTTACCGCGGCAGATTATCTCATTCCCATGGGAAAACACGTTAAAGTACAACCCAAAATATGTGTTTTTGTATTTTTGGACATTCATCTCATAAAGGGGTAGTTTTAGCGCGAGCAAAGGCGCGGGCACTGCTAGTATATATAAATATATAGTAAATGTGCCTGTTGCTACATGATGGCATTAAAACAAAGTTTTGCGCAAAAATGTTAATTAGGTGGTATCAGAAGTTCACGGACGATATGTAGGTACGATATAACCTAATGAAGCTCTATAAAGCTTAAATGCAAGAATTTATCTATCAATTTAAAGAGTTCACTAACTTGTATCAATTGTTTACGTATTGTTTCAATTGCAATATTTTGTACCTAACTAGGTCCTTGAGGTTTGCAACATTTTCTTAGCCCTTCACTCAATTAGCTGATAAACTTGAGTATGGATATATGTAGGTTCTGAGTGATCTTTAGATGAGAGCCTTTAGTTGATAATAATCTTATATCTCCTTATAAAATCTATTTACCTGATATTATATTTTTACTGATAGAATTAAAGTGATAGCAATTAGTGATTCATTACAAGAAGGTAATTACCATTATAATCAAATTGATAATCTTCCCGCGGAAGCTACTAATTTATTTATATTTAGCCTTTTTTTTAACATCCCACTGCTGGGCTCGGGCCTCCCTTTAATACGAGAGGGATCAGGTCATAGTCCACCACGCTGGCAAGTACAGGTTGGCGGACTTCACATGTCTTTTAAAAACTTGCTAAGTTCTCTTAGACATGCAGGTTCCCTCACGATGTTTTCCTTCACCGTAACACAAGTGGTAATTATGTTGGAAATAATTCGCACATGAAAATATCAGAGGTGCGAAACCCGAGATTTGAACTAGCTTCACTCGGTTTCCCAAGCGAGCGCGATACCGCTGGGCTACCACTGCCTTAGTTAATTTATTTTGAGAAATAAATTATGCGCCTAAAACTAATAAATATTATTTAATTTTTTCAGAGCATCAATTGTATCGTTTGCCGGAGTGCGTTTTCCGCCTTTTTCACCCTCGTCAATCAGGGAATGTCAGATGACAGGTTAAATGAGGCTGTGGTAAATCTTTGCATATCCCTTTCAATCGTTAGTCCCCCGACTTGCAAGGGGGTTGTACCATTGAACGTGGTAAGTTGAACCTATATAACTCTTATTTTTGCCCGCAGCTTCGCTCGCATGGTAGATACCATGATAAAAAGTTGCCTTTGCGTTAGTCCAAAATTCTGAAAATCTATCAAATTAGTCGAAGAAGTAGAAGAAAAAGAATCAGCGTGAAGAAGTAATAAACACACATACATATATGTATGTATGTACGTATTCAGCCCTTTTTAACGTCCCACTGCTGGGCACGGGCCTCCCTTCAATACGAGGGGGATCAGGCCATAGTCCACCACGCTGGCCAAGTGCGGATTGGCGGACTTCACATGTCTTTCGAAAACTTGCTAAGTTCTTTCAGACATGCAGGTTTCCTCACGGTGTTTTCCTTCACCGTAAGGCAAGTGGTAAGCATATTAAAAATGATTCGCACATGAAAACATCAGAGGTGTGAGACCCGGGATTTGAACCCGCTTCACTCGGTTTCCAAGCGAGCGCGTTACCACTGGGCTATCACTGCCTATTATACATATATATTTAAGTATATTTAAAAATGATAAATACCTATAGTACCTACCTGTAATCTTCTCACAATATTATCAGTAAAGCAATCTACATTTAGATATATTTACTTATAGGTACAAATTGATAACGATAAGCTTATAATGGCTATTATATGTATTTTTTTTAACAGCCAATTCTAACTCACATCATACGAACAACCCCAGAAGCAGCCCCACGCACGTTTTGTGGTTTAATCTTTCAAACTGTTGGCGACCCTAACAATTGTCCATACGATGATCCTAGATTTGAATGGACAATCGATCTGCCCGAGCGAGTCAATGCACTGCCGCTAGTAAGTACCTAGTTCCAATGCGATATTATTGTCTTTATATATATAATTCTTCTGTGAGTGTGTATGTCACTGAACTTCTCTCAAACGACTGGACCGATTTTGATGAAATTTTTTGTGTGTGTTCAAGGGGATCTGGGAATGGTTTAGATTCACAATTTGAATAATAATTTTCATCAAAAAAATTATTAAAAAAAGTTTGAAATTTTCAAATTAAAGACGTGTAGACAGGACAACGTCTGTCGGGTCCGCTAGTCTATACATATAGTTTTTAGAATTTTTATCTGTCTGTCTGTTACCGCATCACGGAAAAACCACTGGAGAGATTTTGATGAAATTTGGTAGGATGATATCTGGTTACCCAGGTCAAAATATAGAATACTTTTTACAGCGGGAAAATATCTCATCTCTAAGAAATCAATACTGAACGTTAAAACGTAAGTAAGGACGAACCCGAGCGAAGCGAGGGTGAGTCGCTAGTTTACCTAATTAAATATAATTATAATAGATAAGTTCTTGATATTTTTCGTAAAATATAGTCAGGTAGGTATCCGTCTAATTAATACTGCCTGAAGACGCAATAACATGAGGTCTTTTCTCGAACTGAACATGGAATTGGCATATTTAAGACTTAATCTCAAATACAAAAAGTTCTATGTTATTTTAAAAGGATTGTAACTAATGATTCGGCCTGTGTTCACTCAGGTGTAATGTGCACATATGTACGTATATGGGTATACACTATACACTATGCAATTAAAATAGTAGACGAATTATCCATATTTTCTACATGGATGTTAGAAAGATTTGTCATATGAATGCTATTGGGAACCATACGTTAGAAACTAATAGACAAACATCATATTTTTCATTCACATTTTATTTTTCTCTCTTTTTTCATATAACAAAATGTTTTAATCAATTACAGATTAAAAAGTATAATGAGAAACCACTAACAGTAGCTCTTATTACTGACGCTCATATCGACCCCTACTATGAACCTAATGGGGTAGCCGACTGTAATGAACCAACATGCTGTAGATTAGGTCAAACTCCCCGAACAAAAAACGACATGGTCTATGCAAGGACATTCTTTGAAGATGGGTCAATGGAAGAAAATTATGATTTGGATGCAATAGAATTGTCTCAAAGGAACTCAGAGCCAGCCGGTTATTGGGGTGACTTTAGAAATTGCGACACTCCTATTTGGGCGTATGACGATGTAATTGAGAGAGTTGCTTCAATGCACAAGGTAAGATTTATATATAATTAGGTATGTTTTTGATCGTTACAGTGGAATTAATAGACTAGATTTATATTTTCTATATACATACATAAGTATGATGATGATGATGTTGTGAAACTCACTACGTATTATAACGTGTTTTCCCGTGAGAATGAGATAATCTCCCGCGGTAAAAAGTCCATGTCACTCTCCAGCCCTCCAACTATCTCCACACAAAAAATCACGCCAATCTGTCACTCCGTTTCGACGTGAAAGAAAGATAAACAAACAAACACACTTTCACATTTATAATATTAAGTATGGAATATGTATGTTTTGAAGAAAGCTTTGTTTTATAGTTTTTACAAAATTTCTTTTTATTCATTCAGCCTTTGTAAGAATGGAGAGAAATCATAATCGATACTTTCTATATTAGATGATTTTGTTTTTGAATTATTTTTTGTTTGTTTGTCTGTCTGTCTGTCGGTAAATCAATATTTCCAGTGGCCTATAAAAGCTACATATTTTGCGTGAGTACACAAATACGCCCAAAACTACCAATAACACAGTTAAAAAAATAACGGTATGCGTGGTTTTTCATCACTATGAAATACTTAATTATGTATATTGTATAATATTAAAAGTTTTCCATGAAAATATTTCAATATCTCTAAATTGCAGGATATAGACATTGTGTATTATATGGGAGATAGCATCGACCATCACGTGTGGGAAACGACGTATGAGATGATCAATGACATTAATTTGTACATTATTAGTAAAATGAGGAGAGAATTTGGTGATAATATACTTATTTTGCCTTCCATTGGTAACCATGAGTCACAACCTACCAACCAGTAAGTCTGCTTAAGATCCTACATTCCTAACTATATTAAAGACTAGCATTGCCCGCGGCTCCGCCCGCGTTCAGATGACTTAAAATCAAATTCTTAGGTTTTACAAATAAGTATACTCTTACATTGCAGTTTTTGTATTTTTCCTCAAAAATGAGATATTTTCCCGCGGTAAAAAGTGTCCTATATGTTGACCAGGATAACCAGCTATCATCATACCAAATTTCATCAAAATCCCTCCTGTGGTTTTTCTGTGATACGGTAACAGACAGACAGAATTCTAAAAACTATAGATTCGGCCTCTGTATCGATGATAAAGTCTATTTCAATAAGATTTTCCAAAAAATATTCACTGTACAGATTCGGCTTAGTTACGATTTTATTATATGTATAGATATACAAAAATAAGGTATTTCTTATACAATTACCGGTAACGTTTAGATATATAAGTATAGATTAAAGTATTGACAAAGTATACGGTATCTAATTAAAATTCACTAATCATAAAGTTTAAAGAACTGTATACTGCCACTAAATATTGGTATATAAAAAGATAAAATATTTTAAAGTTTTATAAAGTTAAATGCTAATCATGTCTAAACAAACTTAAGTATCGTATTCAGCCCTTTATAACGTCCCACTGCTGGGCACGGGCCTCCCTTCAGAACGAGGGGAATCAGGCCATAGTCCACCACGCTGGCAGAGTGCGGGTTGGCGGAATTCACATGTCTTTCGAAACTTGCTAGATCCCTCAGATATGCATGTTTCCTCACGATGTTTTCCTTCACCGTAAGACAAGTGGTAATCACGTTGGATATAATTCGCACATAAAATAACAGGGGTGTGAGACCCAGGATTTGAATTCACTTCACACGTTTTCTTAAGTAAGCGCGTTACCACTTGCTACCATTGCTCTTAAACTTAAGTATGATGTATGGCAAATACTTGCATGCCATCTTATCTCACACGAGGAATGGAATGGACATGCGTCGCAGTGACAAACACTTCAATAATTAAAATACTACACTAATTCATATAAATATATAACATATGTTATATAATATTATGTTTAAAACGGATAAATAAAATTATTAAATTTTCTTTCCTAGATTCGCACCAAGTTCGGTCAAAGGTGAAAAATTAAATACTACATGGTTATACGAGTCTCTTGCCAATAAATGGGGCTACTATTTGACTGAAGAAGCGAAGGCGACCGTGCGCGAGCATGGTGGGTTCTCGATGCTTGTCCGACCAGGCCTGCGAGTTATATCCATCAACAGTAACATTGCTTACAGATATAATTGGTAAGTTATTTATTATTATGATGATTCCGGCCACGGCGGCCAATCTCATTGAGACTAGCCAACTGCGCAGGAGATATTATAGTGCACAAGTGTACGCGCAGACACAAGTACACTCTCTATTCCCGTCACCCTCATATTCCGGTGGGACGACTGCTCGACACGACCAGTGAGAGTTAAGGCGCAGGACCGACGGCTTTACGTGCTCTCCGAGGCACGGGGGTGAAACACCGCCAACTTCCCAACTCCAGGCTGTTACTGAGGCTTACTTATACAGAAAGACTCATCTTAACTTATTAAGAAAATTATATTTAAACTATGCAAATATGTTATAATACACCTAAAAATAACTATGCTAGTGGAAAACAAGTGAAAAGGACCGAGTATCAGACATATTGGGAAAATTTCAAATTGCAATCGGTTAGGTTAGGTTAGGTTAGGTTATAACTAAACTTGGCCCGACCCGGGACTCGAACCCAGGACTTCCGGGTGTGCAGCCGTACATGCTAGCCACTACACCACGGAGGCAGTTAGATTTATTATTATACCTATATATTAGCGACTCACCCTCGCTGCGCTTGGGTTCTTCCTTAGTTTGATTCCCCGTATAAACTTTTCATCCCCATTTTCACCTACTTAAGGGATGATCCGGGATAAAAACTATCCTATGTCCTTCCCAGGGTCTCAAACTATCTTCTTACCAAATTTCATTTAAATCGGTTTCAGTAATTTCGGAGCCTATTCAGTACAAACAAACAAATCTTTCCTTTTTATAATATTGGTGTAGATAAAATTTGTGTAGCATTAACATCTCCAGGTAAATTTCTAAGAAATTAATTAAATTTCTAAAAAATCTATTGTTAACTGACACGCCGGCGTGTCCGCGGTCGTGGAGGAATTAATATTTCACTTTAAACAGTAACGAAAACACATTGGTAAAATATTTGATTAATTTCAGGTGGCTCGTCTACGATCCATTGGACACTAAAAGACATTTAGACTGGCTTGTACAAGAGCTGTACAAAGCAGAAATAGCCGGCGAAAGTGTTCACATTCTGTCTCACATACCGCCGGGCGTCCATGACTTCACTTACACATGGACGAGAGAATATAACAGGATTGTTAATAGGTAAACTCGTATAAGTATAGCTCAGAGATGAGATATTTTCCAACAGTAAAAAGTATCCTATATGTTGACCCTGATAACGAGCTATCATCATATCAAATTTCATCAAAATCTGTCCAGTGGTTATCTCGTGATGCGGTCACAGACAGACAGACAAAAATTTTACTACTACTATAGATTACTACTACTACTGTAGATAATATCGATATATTTAATGTACAGATTCGGCTTAGTTAGAATTTTGTTATTATGTATAATGTATATTGTATATTATATAATATTTATCCTTATTTTATTATATACTAGCGACTCACCCTCGCTTTGCTCGGGTTCGTCCATAGCTTGTTTAACCATACAAACTTTCATACCCATTTTCACCCCCTTAAGGGATGATTTCCGGGATAAAAGTAGCCTATGTCCTTCCCAGGGTCTCTATCTTCTTACCAAATTTCATCTAAATCGGTTCAGTAGATCCAAACATTACCCCCTATAACCTAACATACTCACAAACTTTACCTCTTTATAATAAGTATTAGTATAGATATCCTCTTAAAAAGTAGCTGTTACATTTAAACAAAATCTAACAAATTAGCAAACAATTACAGATTCTCGTCGACAATCAAAGCGGAATTCAATGGCCACACGCATTCCGATCAGTTCAAGATCTTCTACAGCTTAGAGGACGGGTCACCTATCAACATGGCGTGGGGGGCCGGCAGCGCCACCGCATACACATTTTATAATCTAAATTATAAAATTGCTACTTTCGACAGCTCGACTTTTGTAAGCATTTCTAATTAATAATTATTCTATGGAGTGTAAGTGTAGTGTATATGATTTGAAAGAATTTTAAATAAAACTATCTTTTCGGATTTTTCGCGGATTTATTTAGATTTTTGGACAGCAATAACGGGAGAGACCATGATTTAAAATGCCAAATATTCGCGTAAATATAAGTAAGGACTTGAGAGTAATTCAAAAAATTGTTTATGTTGATACATACTCGTATAGATTTAGATCTTTAGATTGGCGTAGTATGGACATTGGAAACGTTTTTGTGATTGGTTTGTTGATGCGTTACCATGGTAACACATGGCGTCATAACAATTAGTGTCAACAGGTACTGAAAATTGTATGCTATAATGCTATCTTTCTCTGACATAATAGACCAGGGTAGAAGCCTTTAAAAATAATAAAAAGTGAAAAAAATAATAATAGTAGGATGCAACCCATTAGAAAAGGAGGGGAATATTATAAAAATGAAAGGAAAAATAATTTACGGGCGATCTGAGGTCGGGAAGGGGGTGGGGGGGAGCTTTTAAGGGTAAAAAACGGTTTTTCTCAATTTCCGGCAAAACTAAAAGTCCTATCGAAAAAAATCGAATGGCAAAGTTGTAGGTAATAAAAAGATCTAAAACTTTTGTATTTACGCTTTTTTCACATAACCTCAAAATTTATGTGAAAAATTCAAAAAACCAAGTTTTTGGTTTTTTATTTTAATCTTTTACAAAAATGTTTTTGTTTTAACGAAATTTGGTGAAAACTTACCTTTTTATGTCCCAAATACGCTGTAATTTATTTGATTAAAAATATTTATTTTTTCACCTTATTTTGAATTAATATCGAAAAAACACCCTAATTTTCAATCGAAAATTCACCCGTCAAAATATCAGTTTTTTTTCAAAATGTTGGTGTGTTTTCTGTTCGTTGAAATCTCTACTTTCCGATGGTGAAAAAAAAAATATATGTTACTATAGTAAATCTTCTGAGAAAATGCAAAAAACAAAAAACCTTTTTTATTTCATACGCTTGCTTATCAATAACTTTTTTTATTTGCAATAGATATTTAAAAATATTGAATAGCAAGTAACTTTGAAAGTAGAAAGTAGTATATATATCCTACAAATGAAAAATAACAATTCTTGTGTAATAATACTTTCTTGAATTATTAGAGCATTTGCTTCATTGTGTTTTCGATTAGTTGACAACAAAGTGTGTCACGCTCTACGAAGACGACGACGGCAACTTGTTATTATATTATGAAATTACTTTAATCTAAAAATGGCTTCGATCGCGTAGCTAATACATATAAGAAAATAAAGCAAAAAAAATTTGTTACAGGAACCGTTAAACATTATCAACTACGCATATAATTTGACTGAAGCGAACCTAACACCATATAGACGACCACATTGGTTCCAACTTTACAATATGAAGAGTAATTATAGGATCAATGACCTTTCAGCAGTCACAATGGACGCTTTAGTGCACAGAATGGTTACAGACGACTTATTTTCCTTAGACCTATACGCGGCATTTTATTCCAAACTCAGCGATGTAAGATGGCCGACTTGTGACAGATATTGTAAAATTAATAATCTGTGCAAAGCAGTTGTTACAGTTTTGTGGCAACAGGAGAAATGTGAAGAACTTCGTCGATTATATAGTCAAGCACACTACGCAATTTAGCTAAGTTTATCAATTATAATTAACAGTGTTCCAATAAATTTTGTATGGATATATAGAACAGAAGAAATTAATAAAAATTTTCATAAAATGAAAAAATATATGTATGTACTGATTTATATTGATGTTTGTTGTTTGTACTTTTTGATATATTTTTTTCTCACACGAGGGCTTCTTGAAGAAATCTTAAAGAGATAAGTCTTTCTTTGTACACAATATATTAATTATAATCAACCATTTTTTTATTTTTATACGTATTTTTTTGTGGTATATAAATAAATAAAATATAACCTTTAACATAGATTTACTTAATTTATAATCTTCAACAATATTTATTCTTAATTCAAAACGAATTTATGTCAATGCTTAAGTATACTCAGCCAATTAATTTGAGGCTTCCACCTTAAGTTTTCACTTGGTATTTTATCCAATTCAGACAGCTGAAACGAAAAGAAATTAATTATATATCTTAACAATGTAATAACATATTTAATATATTAAACAGTTCAGTTAGTGTTGCAATATATAATGTTTCATTTCATATCAAAATATAAGGAAAATGTTGCACATATTTACTTTAGTTATAGAAAAACATTAAAAAAATATTATTGAATAAAATGAAGAAAATAATTACATGAATTTAGATATATTTATTTGAGTTGTAAAATTGAATAATAATAAAATCATATTATAAGCTTCATCATGGTACATACTAAATGTATATGTATAATGTATTTTACATTTCCACAATATTCCCACTTCCACTAAATCTCCTAAAAGACTTCCACTACCATTCATGAATAACTATTTCTAATACTAGAAAAACTGTTTTTAAAATCATATAATAGAAGTAAATTACCTGATGTCTTATAAAATTGACAATTTTTGCAATATGCTCTACTTTTGTGTCTTCAGAAAGTGAATAAAACCTTCTCCATATTGCTGCAGCTAACACTTTGTCTTCTACCAAACCTTCATCATAACCAACTAATGCCGCTTGAAATTGTTCTGAGAGTTCTGTTACTTGCTTCCTAGCTATAGCTGGATTTGCTCCCTAGAAATAGTTATGATTTCTATGATCAATATTCAATAAGAAATCGAGATAAAAATGTGACTTATGTATGCACATAAGAAGTTATACTTCTTTGGCTTATCAGAACAAAAATAGCTAGTTTTCATCCCATATGTCACAACTCTCTGTAAAAGGAATGCAGCTAACTTCATCATCATCGCTTTTCGGCTGTCGGTGTACGCGCGCATCGTAAAAATTTTACTCTTATAATTTTTTCTAAACGTGCCAAAAGAAGTATAAATTCAAAAATGTAATTGTTTTCTGATGAAAACGAAATTTAAAAACAATTACTATTAATAAGAATTTTATAATAAGTATGAGGTTACTTATTTAGGAAGAATCCTAAGTATTCTACAAAAATATAAATAACTTAATATGAAAATATCAAATATAGTACCTCCAAAAACTTAATTCTGTTTGCAACATCTGCCCATAAAGCTTCTATGATGCAATTCCTTACAAAGTGCCCATCGCCTGTTACATATTTGCTCTTCTCACTTGTAGAAGGGGTAACATCTTCTGCCATATATCTTACCAGTAGAAGCCATACATGTAGCTCAGTAATAATAAACCAGGAGGCAAACGTATCAGGCAGCTCCAGGTCTTCAAACCATTCATTGTATGCTACTCTATCAGGCACACATTCATAGAGAAAATATCCAGTTAGCTTTAATCGCTAAAATGATAATAATATAGCTATTTATAATTACCGTAATTAGATCACACTGAACTATATTGAATGAAATGAAACTTTCTTCAAATAGACTTAATATAAGAACTTTTGAATTATAAATTAATTTAAAGAGCATCAGTGTATAGTCAGTCTGTAAGGAAACTACCACCAGTTCGGAAAGCAGTTCTGCTGAGAAGAGCCAGCAAGAAACACAATAGTTACTCTTTTAAATGTCGAAGTTACATTTTATTTATTTTATTAACATAACAACTTGACATGTTTGGCTCAGTTTGTAGTGACCCTACTTGCAGTGCCAGTGGTCGCGGGTTCGAGCCCCGCTGGGCGTATTCATTTGTATGATGAGCACGAATGTTTGCACCCCAGTCATGGGTGTTTATATTTATAATATGTATGTATTTAAAAGTTATATATGTGTAGTGTATCAAATATCTGGTATCCATAACAAGCCTCGTAGCTTACCATGGAACTAGATGACGCTGTGTGTTAATGTCCCCAACATATTTATTTATATTTATAACATTATAGGCAGCCCACATATGAGCCTATATGTATTTCTCAATTTCACACATTTGCATCAACAAGAACCTTTTGAACAGAGTAATAAACTTTGTTCAATAAAATATTTTTGATTTCTATACATATAATAAAATTGTAACCAAGCCGAATCTGTACATTAAACATTTTTTGGAAATTCTTATTGAAATAAACATTATTATTGCTACAGAGGACGAATCTATAGTTTTTAATTTTTTTTGTCTGTCTGTCTGTTACCGCATCATAGAAAATCCTTTGGAGGGAATTTTGATGAAATTTGGTATGGGTATAGCTGGTTATCCGGGGCAACATATAGGATACTTTTTACCGCGGGAAAATGTCTCATTTCTGAGAAAAAATACAAAAACTACAATGTAAGAGTATACTAATATGTAAAACCTTAGAATTTGGTTCTTGCTCACCTGAACACGGGCGGAGCCACGGGCAATGCTAGTTATCTTAAAATTGTTAAAAAGGTAAATCTAGAACAGTTAGTAAAATCTTATTCATAGTATTGTATTGTCTTATTTACTCAGGTCTATAAAATCACCAGCTTTTGAAGTCGAAATCACTGTTTTATAATTATTTAAACTTTCGCTTGGATCGTAAATACGCACACATTTTAATCACACATCAAGTCAAGAGTATGAGGTGAAAAGTGAGGTTATAAAATAACAATAATTACCGTTCGTTCTTGGTCCATCCATCCTACAGCTTTCATAAATTTCTTAATATAACTTTCTTTAAGAGCTATGGTACCTTGTTCTCGTATATTCAACGATTTCGTACATGGACTAAGAGCACAGGGTCTTGCATAATCAATTCTATTATATAGTCCTTGTCGCCATAATATCTAAAAATTAATTACTCTCTTTATTATTAAAACACTTTTATTATTGTATTTTAATGATTATCTTTTTATATCAATGTACTTACACGTGATATAATCCTACCTCTATTCATTTTCAAAATTTGTTAAGGACAAAAAATAATCATAAAAACAATTAGTTTAAAGAAAGTACATATTAACAAGAAAACATATTAATTCAGAATCAATGAAAAGAGATATATTTTTTTAACAATGCGATTGCAATTTGAAATTTCTATTTTTATTTATCTTTTAAATTTTGAAATGTCAAAACTCAAAAGTCAAAACTCGAAATAGTTGTGACTTGTGAGACTGACACAACGTTTTAATATTCTTCAAGTCTCAACCTTATTTGATGGTGTTAAGTTTTAAATTTGCTAAACTCTTAAAATGGAACTAAAAACATTGATAGATTTCATTTTACGCTACATATATTTAGCTAACGTATTAAATGTTTCCCTATTACATTATAATGATTACTTTGTCAAATAGATAATTATATTAATAGTTTTCCTCTTCTTTCTTTATATTTTATTGAGAACTAGTGACGAACACTCGCTTTGCTCGGGTGCGTCCTTGGGTACCGTATAAATAGTATAGCTATTAGCTAAAGTTTAATAGATATTTTTAAAGAATAATAAACCCGTAATACATGGATATTATATAACTTTATTGGCGTTCGTTTTCACGGTGCACGCCAGTAAAACTGATGGACAATGGACATGATTTTTTCCCGCCATTTTCAACAATCGTCCTCATGAATCACTATTCACTAGTTTATTGCAGTCAGACAGACAGACAGACGCGTCGTGTCACTAAAAAATCCACATAAAGGTGTATACTTGGAAATGTCAACATATGTATGGCATAGTGGAATAATTAAGTAACTCAGATAGAAAAAACGACGACACATATTTAAAACAAAGAATTTGCTTATTCGACTCATGATTTTGATCCCAGCTTATGAATTATATATATTTATCTACATTTTTTTTTCCCTTGATAACAAAAATTGAAAGATTAAAATCAAAAACTAATTAAAATATCTGCTTAAAAGCATATATTTTAATTAAATACCCTCACCATTATCATCCCGTTTTCGTCTACCGATGAACAAAGGTCTCTTTTAGTGGAAAGCCATTGAGCTCGAGTTTCCCTACCGAGATGTGATTCTCAAAGTAAATTCCTATATGGTAAACTATTTCTTTTTTATATGCTTAAGTTTTTATGTGCTATTTTATTTCCATAAGTCTTCAAAACCCATCCTGATTGCTGTGTTTAAAGTAAATTCGAATCTTCTATTTTTGTGGGTGTTACCAGTACAGTTTTGTATTTTATTTTTTGAAGTTATTGATTTTAGCATTTAAAAGTTGTTATCTGTGGTCTATTTTCACGTCGTTGACGGTCGCCCTTAAGACCAGATAATTTTATAGGTTACATAATTTTACTTTGCAATCACCCTTAAACACTTCGCCCGACAAAATCATTTTAAAATGTTTGGCGCAATAAGTAGGGTTGGTGGCGGTTTTTTAGCCGCAAAATCAGTTGCCGAAAAAGCTTTAGCAGAATGTGGCAAAATTACAGCAGTCTCTGCTCAAAGGAGAGACTATGCTGCCAAAGCCGCTGGAAAAGGGCAAGGTAAGGTGGTTGCAGTTATCGGTGCCGTCGTCGACGTACAGTTTGAGGACAATCTTCCACCAATTCTAAATGCCCTCGAAGTACAGAATCGCTCCCCCAGGCTCGTCCTGGAAGTGGCGCAGCACTTGGGTGAGAACACCGTACGTACCATCGCTATGGACGGTACCGAAGGTCTCGTCCGCGGACAGCCCGTCCTTGACTCCGGGTCTCCCATCCGTATCCCAGTCGGTGTCGAGACTCTGGGCCGTATCATGAACGTCATCGGAGAGCCAATCGACGAGCGCGGCCCCATCCCGACTGACAAGACTGCCTCAATCCACGCTGATGCGCCCGAGTTCGTCGACATGTCTGTGCAGCAGGAGATCCTTGTCACCGGCATTAAGGTCGTAGATCTGCTTGCGCCCTACGCCAAGGGAGGTAAGATCGGTCTCTTCGGCGGTGCCGGTGTCGGTAAGACCGTACTTATCATGGAACTTATTAACAATGTCGCCAAAGCCCACGGTGGTTACTCCGTGTTCGCCGGCGTAGGAGAGCGTACCCGTGAAGGTAACGATTTGTACCACGAGATGATAGAGTCTGGTGTCATTTCCCTCACGGACAAGACATCCAAGGTAGCGCTTGTGTACGGTCAGATGAACGAGCCTCCCGGCGCGCGTGCCCGTGTCGCTTTGACTGGATTAACCGTCGCCGAGTACTTCCGTGACCAGGAAGGTCAAGATGTGCTGCTCTTCATTGACAACATTTTCCGTTTCACTCAAGCTGGATCTGAGGTGTCGGCTTTGCTGGGTCGTATCCCCTCTGCTGTAGGTTACCAACCAACTTTGGCCACTGACATGGGTACTATGCAGGAGCGTATCACTACCACCAAGAAGGGTTCTATTACCTCTGTACAGGCCATCTATGTGCCAGCTGATGACTTGACAGATCCTGCCCCTGCTACCACCTTTGCTCACTTGGACGCCACTACTGTGTTATCTCGTGCTATTGCTGAATTAGGTATCTACCCTGCAGTGGACCCTCTCGACTCCACCTCCCGTATCATGGACCCAAACATTATTGGAGCAGAGCACTACAATGTTGCTCGTGGTGTACAAAAGATTCTGCAGGATTACAAATCTCTGCAGGACATCATTGCTATCTTGGGTATGGATGAATTGTCTGAAGAAGATAAGCTGACAGTAGCTCGTGCACGTAAAATCCAAAGGTTCCTTTCCCAGCCCTTCCAGGTAGCCGAAGTGTTTACTGGCCATGCTGGAAAACTTGTGCCTCTTGAGGAAACAATCAAAGGATTCTCCAAAATCCTTCAAGGAGAGTATGATCACTTACCTGAAGTTGCATTCTACATGGTTGGACCTATTGAGGAGGTTGTTGCTAAAGCTGAAACTTTGGCCAAGAATGCATAATAATCATCAGAATACAATGTGGGTGAATGAAAATGTAATCTTATATCATAATAAATTTAGTTATACCTGAAATGGACATTTTAATTCTCCACAAAATAATCCACAATTATGTAAAAGTTTCAATTTTTTAAGTTAAATTATGTAACCAAAATTGCTTCATATTCTTAACTTTGATTAATTATGACACATATTATTACACTAGGTTGCAATATGAATTTATAATCCAAGTGTACCGATAAGAATGCAAAAAACCTAAAAATAGGTAAAATTCTTATGTAACACTTTCAAATCGAGTTATAAAAATATAACTTCAATTCAATTCTTATTACCTATGTGGCTTTTAGGTATGCTACTTGGTCACAGAACAATTTGTTATTGCTATATTATATTGTTATGCACATATCAAAATATACGAATTTGGAATAAAAATATAAGTATTAAAGAGTATTTAATCAAAAAAATTTTAAATATTTATGCATGCATGAAAAGTATTATAATGAATCAGTTTTTTCATTGGCTATGATTTAAAATATATATTATTTACTTTTCTCCCACGACTTAATGTAGTGATATATATATGTCCAGTCATATCCAGTCAAGGCAACCTTTAAAGTTTAACACCTCCAGGTAAATTTCTATGAAATTAATTAAATTTCTAAAAAATCTATTGTTAACTGTAACGCTGGCGTGTCCGCGGTCGTGGAGGGGTTATGATTATGTTTATGTTCTTGTTATATTTATTATTATGGTAGTTACGTCATAATTTATCAGTTTCATTATAATTGGACGAATGATACAGGAACCCATAAAAAACTATCAAAAAAAAATATTTCTATATAAATATTCAAAATACCATGACCATGAATATCCCTTGACCCATACATATCAAATGTTACCTGAAATTATATTTAAGGTATAAGACCTAAAAACGGCTGGACGGATTTGGATGAAATTTGGTATACAGATATAGATTATATTTCAATGATATCAATAAAAACTGTAATTAGGGGATAGGACAAAAATAAAGTTTAAGGCATGGCAGCTTTATTTATTTTCTAGCTAGACTTAAAATAATAACTGTACACATTTATATTTAATGTTTCCTTTAAACATAAAATAATACTAATTAGCAACCTTCTAGGTTTTCAGTTTTATGTGAATCAACAGTAGCTTCATCAACTTCTGTATTTGACTCAGCATCAAATAATGCATGTTCAGGAGAGTTATCATTTGTTTTTTCAGGTACAACATTGTCAACTTCATTGGGTGGCGTATCTGTAATAACTTTATTTTCAGTAACAGAATTTTCGGCTTCAGAAATGGCCGGTGATATTACATTTGAAGAATTATTAGGTACTGGTTTACTTATAGCACATTCCACTTTAGGTACTTTAACAACAACAACTTGGTCTTTCTTCTCTTCACTGGAAGTAGTTTTAGTGGGATCTTTCAGTTTTATTGTTTGAAATTTAAGTGGTGCATTACGAGAATTTGTCCCATCAGTACTTCTGTTAATAGGTTTAATGACTAATATTTTTGTTTTCATGCCGGCTTTTGTAAAGTCTTTAATGTTTTTCTTTATCAGGGGATTTTTGATAACTTCTAAGCTCTGTCTGCGGAATTTTATAGGAACTAGTGGTACATTTATATTGGGTTTGGGAGTTTCCAATGAATTTCTTTTTTCACTTTCTACGTTTTTGATTTCATCTATTTCTTTATTGGACTCATTTACGATTATTTCACTTTTAATATCATTAACGGGCGTATCTTCAACATCTTTTGGAACTTCTAATTCAGACGTTTCAGAAGATTTTTGTTCTGATTCTTCTTGCTTTTCAATTTTAGGTTCATTTTTTTGTGGACTAGGTGAATTCGGCAATTCTGTTACTTTTACGGGACTAGGGCTATTTTCCTTAATTTCTTTCTCATCCTTTTTCGGAGATATTTTGTCCGTTTTTGTCACTTTAGGTACCATTGGTCTCGCGAAAATATTTGATATTCGTGATTCTTTTGTAGCGGCACCAAATACGCCAATAGTTTTCATGTGGCATTGTGATTTTCCTGCAGATTTCCAGGACAAAGTAACTAGAGCTCCACAACAATCTCTATTGATAATTTCATAATTTTGTATTATTTCTTGTGGAGATTTTCTCCTATAGTAATGGGATTTAGTCACGGCAGTTTGAGAACCTCGATACCCCTGCGCCTCCATTTTTAACAAATTAGATAGATCATATTCAAAATCTTCATTTTTAGGTTTAGTTTTTTTACGAACAGGGCGACGAGATGCAACTGAGGTCTTTTCAATACTTTGACGCTTTGATATTTTCTCATCAACCTCATCGAAATCGGACGAGTTCTCTTCAAACACTTTAGAATTCGACGACGAATCGTTTTCTATAACCATAACATCCTTTTCTTTTTTAACTTCTTCCTCTTTATTAATCTCAACATCATCTGGAAATTAAAATTTATATATGAAATATTTGCATTTATACCTGAAAATATTTATTGATAATCTAATCTTTGCCATCAGAATCTCGAAACATTATTGTAAGAATATAAAACTAGCTATCTCTCACTAAAAAAAATTCAGTAGGTGAAAAATCAATAATTCCCTATTTCCAACACTTAGGGGTGGATTTTTTTTTTGAAATTTAAATGGGACCAACTTTGAGGTAAAACCTATCCAATAAAAAAAGTATCATTGAAATTGGGCTACACTGTAAAAAGTTATTTGCATTTACAGATACAGTTATAAATCCCCAATATTTTTAAATTCTATATACAAACTTCCTTCCCTTAATGTTTTTGACCGACTTTAAAAAGAGGAGATACTGAATTCGGGAATGGCTGTGTATGTTACGCGATATTTTCGACAATTATGAACCGATTTTCATGATTCTTTAGTTAATTAATATTTTTAGAAATAATTTATAAAATAAATAAAATATCTCATATAAATTTTAAGAAAAAAAAAATACTCTTAATTAAGGATGAAAACTTTGAAAGTGATTTTGAAATCAGTGTTAATATCTACAAAAAACGCTTTTTTTAGCAAATCACCAAATGTTTATCATATTAAACTAAAATTTCTATTTCGTACAAACCTGCAACATAAGTCGCCTTTTTCTTTTTCGCATTATTTCTGTATTTATTAACTTTACGTTTCCTCGAACCTTCTATTCTTACACTACTGGAGGAACTGTCATCAGACAATCGGCTCGAGTCACTTGAACATCTACTTGGTCGTCTTGAATCCGGACTAACTTCCTGCCTTTCATTTGTCTCATCTGTAGAATCAGCCAATTCCAAAGCTTCAGTACCATCAACTGCTTTAACCGTACTGTAGTAGAAATCGGTATCACCTTTTAATTTATGTACAACTTTCACGTGTTCTGGAAGTTTCTCAAAGTTGAAATGTTTGAAATTGCACAATTTACACGCGTATCGAAGCCATTTGTAATGTGCAGCCATGTGATTTAATAGTTCATTCATTTCTTTATATTTAGTGTTACATTTCTTGCACATTAACTGGTCTTTTTCGATATCTGGTAGTAATTTCTGTTTGAAAGCATTTAAATTACTCTTCTCAGCTTGTTGGGCGAAGGGCAGTTTATTCATAAGCATGCTGTCAAAGAAAAATGGCTTTTCTATTGTACTTATTTCGGAAACTATATCCTTCTCTACGTCTTGCTCTTTTGCAATTTCTATTACAGTCATTTCTGCTTCGACTAAAGTGTTTTCTTCACTTCTTTCATTAGTAACTTTGTCATTGGTTTTACTTACTGGTTGTATTTCTTCAGTAACTGTTGGAACTATCTTGGTATCTGTAAAAAATATATATCATTATAAACAATAGAAAACAGGTCTCTTAATGAATTAGGGATTTGTAATTTATTTAAGATAACTGTGATATTTGAAATATACTATCTCATTATGAATCCATAAGTCATCTTCGTATGAGTAAATCATTATTTCAAATTTCAACAGTTGATATCTAAAAACAAAATAATCCACAGGATAGAAAAAAGAAACTAAAAATCAAATTTTTCAGTCAATCAAATTAATTAGGTTTTCAGAGCTAAAGCAGTGCACTTTAGAGGAATTGAACCACCGAATAAGAGTGTTCACCACATATATATGTATATCACAACTGCCTCGGTGGCGTAGTAGCTAGCATGTACGACTGCATATCATCATAGCTGTCAGATTAATCTATGGTGGGGTAATTACATCCTGAAAAGTGTGCAATTCAATAATCTGCCAAATTGCACAATCCGAAGAGGCAAAAATTAACTATAAAGTTTATGTTGATTTTTGCCTTATATTAATTGTGACTTATATTATGGTGGAGGTACTCAACAGAGTGCAAGGTATCCCCCCTTAATCCTTATGTTAATCTACCGCGCTTGAGTAACTGCAAAAATCCCCTCTTGGGCTCCCCTACTATTATACCATACCCGTCCCCTACATTTATAAAATGTGAAGCATAACGTTGGAGATCCTAATAAAAATAAATACCAGAACAGTGACTCACCTCGTCCACTCGCGCACAGGTAGGGGTTGGCCTGCTCCTTGTGGTAGTCCTTGCGTATCTGTATGCCGATGCGGCGGCGGTGGCGGCGCGCGCAGGTGTGCGCGTGCGCGGCCAGCGCGGCGCGGCGCTCGAACGTGCGCCCGCACACGCAGCGCCGGCCCTCGCCCTCGCCGTCGAGCTCCTCCAGCCACGCCTGGGGGATAATAATAATAATGACCTCCTGACTAATTTCGGCCACGGCGGCCAGTCTCATAGAGACAAGCCATCTGCGCAGGAGATATTATAGTGCAGTGGTGAAAGTTAAGGCTTTACGTGCTCTCCGAGACACGGGGGTCAAACACCGCCAACTTCCCAACTCTGGGCTGTTACTGAGACTTACTAAACAGAAAGACTCAATAACTTTGATCGGGTATGGCACAAAGCGCTTCTTTCGAAGATACCTTCCTATGGGCTCCCCGAGAAATTTTGCAACTGGATCACCAGCTTCTTGGCAGATCGGAGCATCAAGGTCGTTGTCGACGGTGCTTGCTCTGATCCTAAATATGTCAATGCTGGTGTTCCACAAGGCTGTGTACTGTCTCCTACTCTGTTTCTTCTGCATATCAATGACATGTTGCAAATCAGCAACATTCATTGCTATGCAGACGATAGCACTGTGGATGCCCTGTACACTGGCCGCGCTAATCTTTCTCGGGAATACGTCGACGTGAGCCGGAACAAACTTGTGTCTGAAGTCGAATCTTTGTTAACTAAAGTCTCGGAGTGGGGTCGACTAAACTTAGTCCAATTTAACCCCAAAAAGACACAAGTTTGCGCGTTAACCGCTAAAAAGTCGCCATTTGTCGTAGCTCCTCAATTTGAGGACACTCCTCTGTCTCCTACAGCCAGTATCGGAATACTTGGCGTCGACATCTCGAGCAACGTCCAGTTCCGTGGTCAATTGGAAGGTAAGGCCAAACAGCCTCAAAGAAGCTTGGTGTGCTCAGCAAGGCGAGACAGTACTTCACGTCGCGTCAGCGTCTTATTTTTTATAAGGCGCAAATTCGGCCCCACATGGAGTACTGTTCTCATCTTTGGGCGGGAGCTCCCCAGTACCAGCTACTTCCATTTGACCGCATTCAACGTAGGGCGGCTCGAGTTATCGACGATCAAGCTCTCTCCGATCGGCTTGATCCTTTAGCTCTGCGTAGAGATATTGGATCACTCTGCATCTTCTACCGCATTTATCACGGGGAGTGTTCCGAGGAATTGTTCGGACTGATCCCGGCTGCTGAATTTCATCATCGGACATCGCGCCAAAATATTAAATTCCATCCACACCACCTCGATGTCCAGCGTTCCACAACAGTGCGATATTTAAGACATTTTGTGCCCCGCACAACCACTCTGTGGAACCAGCTATCGCCGGCGGTCTTTCCGAACCGCTACGACTTGGCCACCTTCAAGAAGAGAGCGTATTCTTTCCTTAAAGGCCGGCAACGCATCTGCAAGCCTTGCGGTGTTGCAGTTGTCCATGGGCGGCGGTGATCACTTTCCATCAGGTGAGCCTCCTGCCCGTTTGCCCTCTTAGTCCCATAAAAAAAAACTGAACCTGGCCTGACCCAGAACACGAACCCAGGATCTCTCGATGTGCCGCCGTACTTGCTAGCCATTATACAACCCAGGCAGTTTTAAGCCTCGGGGATACATAATGATGTTTTATTATAGGTTAGACACTTCTAGCCGTGCGTGGTAGACAAAGACTATACATACTGTTTATTAGAGTTCCGTAGCGAAATGGCTAAAATGTAATCCTTATAATTTCGGCATGTCCGTCTGTCCGTATGTTATAGACATTTTACTAGAACATTATTGGAACTACATAGCTGTAGGTCATGGGTCACGGGTCATGTAAATCGTTAGACAATTCTGTAGTTAAATTATTACACAAACAAAAATAGGGTATGCATAATCGTAATATGAATCTGGATAATTTTTTGTCCAGAACCCGACCGAACCAAAACCGAACCCAGAACCTGAAGGTTTGCAACTGTATATGAAATATTTACCTAAAAGGTCAAACGGAAACGAGAGTAAAAGGGATAGAGAATTAACGAGTGCCTCCAGGAAAAAATAAGCGTAATTCATTCACTTTTTTATCGTACACCACACCCACAAATAAGACAAATCTACTTCTTTATATCATTAATTCAATCACATTGCCAAGTCAGAGCGTGATAATGACATAGACATACCTATAATCAAAAATCATTACCCTCATTTTCTCCGGACATCCTGATAAAAAAGGTACTATTATTAGAGGTAATGTCCAGAGCTGCTGATGGGAATTTAAAAATCTTATAGACACTAATAATAAGAAGCTACATTAACTCAGTATCATACACTATAATATGGTCATCCGGTTTGTCATACAAGAAAGTATCTAAATCATAGAATAAGAATAATTATATATTTTTCTATAATTTTGCCAACACAAACCTGGTTCTCTTGATCGAGTCGTTCTTCTTCAGTGATCTTCTGCGGCGGAACAACTTTAGGCACAGTCTTCCGTTTCTCGTAGAAAGCCGGCGGATTGTCCATACGGAATGCTTTCGCTTGGATCGACTCGCGCAGTCGTCTGATTTGTGCTGCGGTTTTTCTGTAATTAAAGTAAAATCAAAATTTAATAATCTTGTCATATGATTAATATTTTATTAACGGACCCGACAGACATTGCCTTGTCCAAATATATAAATAAATCTTAATTACGTGTGTATATAAAAATAAAAAATCCTAGAACCCGACTTCAGCGCCACCTACCGGGTTCAGTTGTGTATCTAAACCATTCAGGGAACTTCTCAAACACACACACAAAAATATCTTCAAAATCGGTCCAACCGTTTAGGAGGAGTTCAGTGACATACACACGTACAGAAGAATTATATACGAGTATATATTATAAGTTATAACACTTTATTGCACAATAAAATAGTAGAAAATTATTATAAGTGTATCTTAATATCTTGCCATCAAGAATGGAGCTTCCTACACCGCAATAAATATGCACTAATATTATAAAGAGGAAAGATTTGTTTGTTTGTATGTTTATAACACATTCAAAAACTACTGGACCGATTTAGAATAATAAGATACTTTGAGACACTGGGGAGGACATAGGATATTTTTTATTCCGGAAATCGTCTCGTAAGGAGATGAAAATGGAGATGAAAGTTTGTATGGGGAATCAATCTAGTGTTTTATATATATACCCGCGACCTTCCGTGAAGAGACACATTTAAAAAAAAATGTAACTATATACTACACTACATACTATATTATACTTTACATATATACGGGAAGAGTAATTTTCAAGTGTTTATAAATGATAGCCGATACCTTCCTATATAATCCCCCTTTCTATTGGTGAAAACCATATGAGATCCACCCATGTGTATCCACTTGTTTTAGAGATTAGCACAAACAAACACAAACAGTACTTTAATCTATATAAATAAATAAAATTGTCGTGTCTGTTTGATGAAAGTATATACGGTACTTATAAGATAAAAACAATTTTCAATATTTTTGTCCATTTGTTCCGGTTAATTTCCGAAACGGCTGGACCGATTTTGACGGGACTTTCACTGGCAGATAGCTGATGTTATAAAAAGTAATTCAGGTTACTTTTATTTTAGAAAAAGAATTAGGGCTCCGCACAAAAAAATGAAAACCCGTGAAACTGTGAGGAAAATCCGCTTACCAAGGGTGAAGGGACGCACCGAGCAAGCGAGTCGCTAGTTAGAAATAAGCGTGGGCGTAAATATTATGTAAATAAAAATTAAGAAAATTACGTTATTTTATGATTATTGAATGAAAGAGAATAACATTTACATTAAAATATTAAATAACTATTCTATAAAAAGAAGAAAATGCAATTCTGTATATAACTGTCGAATTTTGACAAAACACTCTTCTTTTTTTGAAATCGGTAAAAAATTCTTACCTATGAACTTTGAACAGATGCCGATAAACGCTCCAAGAAGTGGAAAAGATGTCGACGCAGTCCGGACACGGGTAGACGAGGCGACTCTCCACATGTTTATATTTCATATGGAACTTAAGCGTCTTGAGAGTTGAAAATTGAAGGTCGCCTGCAAATTATGTAATCGCCTTTATAAATAAAAATGTTTCTTTATATATTTGCAATAATCTATATATGTATTTATCCTATTGTGATGAAACTTTGTCGAGTTGTTCTGCGTACACCCGAAAGTTAGGTAGCTGAGTATAATTATAATTAGCGACGTGGAAGGCAGGGCCGCATACTTAATAGAGGTCGGCAATTCTATACCGGTATAATTTTCTTTTGACCACTTACCAATATTTGTTTGTCTATGTTTGTATAATATAAAAGCAGCACACTTTCTGAATTTCATTTTTTTCATTTTTTAAAGGACTTTTAATGTTAATATACCTACATTATGAAATAAATTCTTATTCACATTACTCAAATTATTTGTCTTCACTTATTTTTGAAGGAATTGCAATTTTGTTACAAATTTCTGAGATTTGTCAATACAACATCTTTATGAACAAATAATTACTTAAGATAAATTTAGTCAAAATAACTTAACATAAATAATATATTATGTAAAACTTACATATTTTACATTTAAGTCCATCTGTGTCTTCATTTTCATCATCATCACTTATCTGTATAACATTGTCCGTAGACACATTACTTTGCACTTTAAATGTACCATCGCTTTGTAAAACTGCTTTTTCTTGAGATAAAATCTCATCTAATTCCTTTATCTGAAATAGAAATAAATAAACAATTACATATAGTGTAGTAATAATTGTAAATAGTTAAGTAATTTAATTCTAAAGTGCTACTAATATTTATATGAAGTTTGTTTCTTACTTGAGTTCTCATATTGTCAGTGCTTGAATTCCTAGTGTCAATATTTTGAAAAACAGCAACTGAACTCTTCGGTATTTTCTGGAATGACAATTGTTGATCTTGGATTTGTTTATCTTTAACTCCTTTAGATTTTACAATACGTTCTAAGATTTCAGTCAAATCCTTAGACATTGGTATTTGTTCATCATTCTCGTCTTCATCCATAGATTTTAAGCTATTATTTTCAGCTAGAGACTCTTGATAGCTCTCTTCTAACTTTCTAATTTTTAATAAGTCCTGGATCTATAAAATTATTATCAATATTATTTATAATGTACGCTTTGGCATTTTTGTAAATTTTATGTTATAAAATAAATCAATCATTACTTACTGTACAAGTTTCCTTAATAAAATGGCCATGTATTGAGGAATTAAAGCTCTCCTTGCAATATACACGTTTATGAGATATAAAATTTGCTAAGCTTCTAAATATGTTTCTGCAAACCTTACATTCATATAATATATCACATTCATTTGTCAGTAAGCTCTTAAGCTGAAAATGTAAACAAATATTTTTAGAATATAATTAGCATTTTATATAATAAATTTTCACATATTTTAGATTTAGAATATGTTTTAATTACTTCTTCAGTGGCTTGATCAAAAATTTTTCTTGCTTGTGCAAAGCCTGTTATACTAGTTAATATGGGCTTTCTTAGCAAAGAAAAGTCTATATCATCATTTTCTTCAACAGCTTGGCCAGTACCTCTGTTTAATTTACTCTTGTCCTCCTTTTTCTTTGTATTTATTTTATTACCAGCCATTCTGACACCTAAAAAAATATTTACGTAATTAAAGTATTCATAGGTTCATTCATAAGTACTGTTTGCTATTATTTAAATAACGTTAATAAACGCATTTGTTGCCTGAAATAATTACGTTCTCAAATTGGCACAGTTTTGAATAACGCCGACCGACTAATATGTGATAGGTATATACGACTATACTATTTACTACTTATGTGTTATCTAACCATACACGTTAAACTGATACATCTCAACGCTATTTCAATAATATCTCACTTCTAAATTAAAAAGGCAACTTTGCAATCGTATTTCAAGCATGGTTTTACATCACGAGGTATATACCAAGATGTTCGAAGTCTGTCAGTCTCTCCCTCAAATATCCACGATAATGTTGATTCTCATCTCAGAAAAACATATTAGTCAATCATGGTACATAACGGAGAAAACTAATCAAGTATTTAAATGTTCCCACTTACCAGAAAATCTTGAAATCTATGAACTTGAAAATCCTTATGTTTCGACAAATGTACCACCATCACGCCATTTTTAACAAATGAATACATACTAACAATACTAGCTAGCCAGCCATCTACTAACAAAGTAGTATGTGCTTATATTTGTGTATAATTAAAGGAACTTTTAGTTACGATTTTTGAGTAAAGTTTTTTATTTTATTAATTAGTACAATTTTTTCTATGTACTTATTTTATAAATAACATTTTATTCTATATTCATTTTAAAAAATATTCTTTTATTTTAAATGTCAATATTGCGATCTATGGTTGGCGGTTGGATGTCATTTTCGTTAAATGTCTATTCAATGACATTTATTAAATTGACAATTGGTCAAATAAACCTGAAATCTGAATGACAATCAGCCCCGGCCGAGCTCCATACAAGCGCATATTCATAAAACCGAAGGCGAATAAGACGAAGCGGGGGCCGGGGGGGTCAAGATAGTCAAAGAAAGATTTTTCCCGATTTAACCATTATAAATTAAAAATAGCTACATGGGATATGTTAATTAATATCTTATTATATTATAAAATATACTTAAGTTAAATATGTTTATAATGATTTTTTTTATAAATCATATGTGCTATATATTGATTTATATAATTATATTCTAAATGATTTTAACTATTATCGAATATCTTATATTTTAATTATATTTCATATCAAACATAAAATATCTATTAACATAGGTTTTTATGTTATAAAAATTGATTTATATTTTAGAGCTGTGTCATGATATTTGCCTTAATATGGGGACAGTTATGGCATAAATGGCAAGTCAAAATATGCTGTCACTTTCACGGCTATTGTATTTCTTTTGAGTCGCCACGCATCTCTTTCTAAGGGTATGACGTCATATGCGAATCTGGGAGAATTTAGTTCGTAGTGATGTGAAAATCGGTATTCATTACGATTAAGTAGGGATGTTTTTATCGTAATGTTATCGGTATTCAACAACTGTTATCGGTTTTATAGTAAGGTTTTCATTTTTATGATATTAATTATAATTAGAAATAAAATACAAAGATAGGTTTCTCGTTTTTTTATTTTACTATTTTAATGCTACCACTAGTTTGGAAAAATGCCTCAGACCTGAGAAGAATTAGCAAGGACTGAGGTCCTTGACGGGATAACCTTTTTTTTAACATTTATAACACATTGTTATTACAATAAAAGGACATTTTTAAAGAATTTTATCAATTGAATACAAAATACAAAAAATATAAATTAGTACAACGATTTGGTATAAAATATTACAATGCAATAAAATTAGAAGTAACATAGAACAATAGTTTTTGTTAATAACAATATCATATTAAGCGAGTAGTAGGTTTAATTGTAGGTATAAATTAAAATCTAGCTTTTGTTTGAAGTTTTAGCTCTAGAACCACCTTCATCTTCAGTTTATAAAATGCAAAGATTCGAGATTAGCGCATTTGAAAAAACAAACATTTTAATCTTATATAAATTAAAAAAAAAATGCAAATTTCAGTAAAAAATGAATAATAAAATTAATTTTCTTAAAAGCTTAAGAAATTTAAAATCAATATGTACATAGTAATAGTAAAAATTTGGTGTAAAAAGAAATAACAGCTAAACATACTCTAAAATAAAATTTCTAAATGCATATTTCTATCAAATGTAACAATTATAATTAATATATTAAAATTATATACTGCTATAGTAGTATATTTTAAGAAATTATAATATTATTTCACAGAAATCAATTGAAATATTCATACATTATTTTTATACTTAATAGAAACATAATGAAAATGGAAAATTCCAAGTGATTATCTTTTAAATAACCAAGAAATGAAACAAACAAGACTAATAAATATTAAAAGTTAATTAATGAAAAAATATTGGAAAATCATTCACTACTCTGAATCTAGTCTTCAGACTAGATGAGTTCAACCATAGCTAGGCCCTTCTGAAACTTTCATATTAAGCAAATTTTCAATTCTTCAATTAAAATTTATATACCTGTGTCTAACTTTTATACATATCATAAATAATGAGAATGCTCTTAAAAATATTTCTCTATGATCTACACAAGTGTACCAAGAGGTATCAGATTTTCAAATGCTTTTATTAAATCGGGAAATATGTAAACTTTACAAATCTTTGGTAATTGTCTTTTAATTATTTAAATTGCATACCATACTAGAGATGACAGATTCTTAGAAGGATCATGTATTTTATTATTAATGAATAAAATAATCTCAGATGTGAATAAGCCATTCTCAATATTTATGTTTAATGTATTACAATAATTGTGTTCTTCCTGGAAACTAAAAGCCTTTATCAGGAGACTTATAGATGTTGAAACACTTCAACTGCTGAAACACCTGCGCAGCATATACTTCACCTGTAAATATATTATTATAATAATGTAATACAACAAATAGTCACCATAACTATATAGTATATGAACTAGTAACTACTGTAGATGAATAGTAGCTTATTTAAATATAGTAATAGTTTAGTATTATTAGGGTCTAGGTAGATAAGCCAATTAGGCCCTTAAATAGCTGTTAACATTATACAATAGATAGGCTATAGAGTTGATAAATTGTTTTTAATGGACTGAGCATTACATGGATAAGTGCATTCAAACAATAAACAAACTATTCAATTTTACATATTAGAATAGAATAGTATAATAATAAATAGTATAATAATATCAATAGCTTCAAGAAGTTCCTTCTTAAAAACAAATTCATATTAAAAATAATATCCAAGATCTAAAGTAATATAATAATATCTTAATTTACTAAACTGAACAATATAGTTACCTTCATCTTAACAAAAGAGTTTGGATAAATATGCCTGTCAGTAAGTTTGTTAGCCTTGCAGCACCTTTATGGTCATCTACTTTATACAACATATAAACATAATCCCATTGAGCATGCTGACTGCCAAGGAGCAAATTCTTTTTCTGAAAATTATTACTGAAACATTTCAGTAAATGAGGTACATCATACTTATGATAGGTTTTGTTCCCACTTCCCATTAACTTCATAATGGATAGCACTTGATGCATCATTGGCACTACAAAGTATATTTACCTTAGTATCAGAAATTAATGAATTTATTGCAGCTACATTGGCAGAAACCTGGTCAGATAGAGTTACTCTAGAAATAAACCGTTTATAAGAATTTCTATAAGTATACGTTATAAAATTGAAGTGCATCTTTATAAGGCATTCTATGGCATGAAAAATCTTCTGTTACTTCCTGACAATTCGGAATTACAATGCTTTCCCATGATTACACAACATTAATAAAAAACCAAAAAAAGGAAGAGAAACACTAATGAAGAAATAACAAATTATGTATCCAAGCACAAATCTTAACTATATCACTGATCTACATTAATCCGCACTTATCCACATTAATTAATACTAATCTACAAATTGATAAAATGTAAATTTTAAGTGTAAAATAATATAAAAAACGGCAAGCCCTCACACCCTAGTCCCCAGGGGCGAGTAATAACGACGGTTAAAACTTGAATATTTCAAAAATGACAAAATATTGCAGTGACGTCACAGTAGTGACGTATGTAACTGCGACAGAAATAAGTTGTTGTCCCACTCGTTGTCGCCAAATGTAGAGATAGCATGCTAGTTACCAAGCAAATGAAAGGGATAGATAGATGCACCAAGAGCTCGTATGGAACTAATTCATCTATTTTATTTGTCATCCATGATGACAATTAGTGGCGATTATTTTGTCGGCATTTATTTGTATTCAAATTAGAGTTTTAACTTCAATTAATTTCATTTTTAACAATATAACTTATTTTTCTAAAACGTCCAATATAGTAGGTTGCATTACATTACTTAGATTGAATAGCTACAGTGATCTAAAATTTGCGAACTAATCTTATTGCGAAATTACTTAGCAGCTTCTTTAAAATACTTTATAAATATTAATAGCAATGGCAGAAGGAGAAGCTCAAACTTTGGATTATCAACAAAGACGATGGCATAACATAAGAAAACTTTTAGAAAGGTCTGGCCCTTTCTGTCATCCTGATTTTGAGCCATCACCTGAAATTTTGGATTTTATAATGAATTCCTGTAAAGTATTAATCGTGGGTGCTGGTGGTCTTGGTTGCGAGCTTCTTAAGGATTTAGCATTAATGGGATTTAAAAAAATACATATAGTAGACATGGACACTATAGAACTTTCAAACCTTAACAGACAATTTTTATTTCGTAAGAATGATATAGGACTATCCAAAGCTAAATGTGCAGTGGAATTTGTTAATAAAAGGTATTTAAATATTCTAAATTCTTTAATAACCTCATGTATATTTACTCAATCTTATTTATAATACTTTAAAGAGTACCTGGATGTGAAGCAATAGCTCATCATTGTGCAATTCAAGATTTAGATGATGGATTTTATCGACAGTTCCATATTGTAGTATGTGGACTTGATTCAATAGTGGCAAGACGTTGGTTAAATGGCATGCTAATGTCATTACTGCAGTATAATGATGATAGTAAGTGTTTCATTATTGTTGGCTAACTGCTAATCATATTTTATAAAGAAATTTGAGTACAACATAAACAAAAGCCTATTTTGTAATTGTGTCATTGTCTGGTGTGAATCATAAATATTTTAAAAAATATTAAAGAGATTCAAAAAAGTTTTGATAAACTATTATATTATAGTGAAAAATATTATTAACTAATGTTATTCTTATAGGAAGTTTGGATCAAAGTAGTGTTATTCCACTAGTTGATGGCGGCACTGAAGGATTTAAGGGGAATGCCAGAGTAATACTTCCTGGAATGAGTGCTTGCATTGAATGCACACTTGATTTGTATCCACCACAAAAAACATTCCCCTTGTGTACAATAGCCAATACTCCAAGGTATTTCAGATATATTTTAAAGTAATCAAAGCTTATTGAAAAAAATAATGTTTTAATTTGTCACATTTTTTTAATCAATTTAGATCAGTGTTTATTGTAAATTTTATAAATCTTAAAGTATGTTTATTTATTTCAAACAAAATTAAATAAATTATTAAAATATTTTAGATTGCCAGAACACTGTATAGAATATGTTAAAGTTCTCCAATGGAGTAAAGAAAACCCATGGGGTAGTTCTACCATTCTTGATGGAGATGATCCTCAACATGTGGCATGGGTTTATGAGAAAGCACAAGAGAGAGCTATGAAATATGGCATAACATCTGTTACATACAGACTGACACAGGGTGTATTAAAGAATATTATACCTGCTGTAGCCAGTACTAATGCTGCAATTGCTGCAGTTTGTGCTACTGAGGTAAAACTGATTATAATTTATTTTGATAAGTTGTAATTTTAATTTTTATTTAATATCCATACTAATATTATAAATGTGAAAGTGTGTTTGTTTGTCCTTCTTTCATGTCGAAACAGAGTGACGGATTGGTGTGATTTTTTGTGAGCAGATAGTTGAAGTTGAAGGGCTGGAGAGTAACATATCACTTAGGCTACTATCTCAGGAGATCATCTCATTCCCACGGGAAAACATGTTATAATAAAAAAATATTTTTGATCAGAATTACTTGAAACTTGGTATTAATCCTCTTCAATAAAATTAAATAAATAGGTGTTTTAGCATTTTCTGAAATTCATCCTATAAGGGGGTAAAATAGGGGATGAAAGTTTGTATGACCATTTTAGAGATTTTTGTATAGATTTAGCGCGAGCGAAGCTGCGGTTTCTGCTAGTACTGTATATTTAACAGTATAATAATCTCTATATAATATTATCTCAATTTCCATAAAAATAGTGTTTTTTTTTATATTTTTCAATAGGTATTCAAACTAGCTACCTCATGTTGTACAAACATGAACAACTACATGGTTCTAAATATGTCTGATGGAGTATACACTTATACATTTAATGCTGAAAAACAACCAGATTGTGTAGCCTGCAGTAATACTACTAGGATCATGGCAATAGAACCTGATGCTACATTACAAGCCATATATGATAAACTATGTGAGGATAAAGGATATTTAATGAAAAGTCCAGGTTAGCATTTTTTTGTTATAAAATGTATTATATATTTGTATTGCCTTATAAAGTTCTTGTTAATATACTTTTTGCTGAATTATGTACAAAAAATATTCTATACATATTATACTTCCACATGTCTATCTCTTTTGGTTTTCTTAGTATAATTTCTCAGTTTTATGAATTCTTAACAAATTGCTATCACCATTTTGAAAAGTGCATCCTTATTAAAGAAGACTATTAAAAAAATATTATTTTGTATTTCTAATTGGCCGAGCAAGCGAAGGGTCTGCTTTGAGTCTACAAAATTGCTTTCCTCTGTTAGTTTGTTGATACTCCATTACAGGTCGTATTTTACAACCGATCTAGACGAAACTTGATATACAGGTTTTACGAATTTATAGTTTCTTTTTGTCATTCGGGACTTTTGATAAGAGGGGTACTTCCTCCAAAAAGGCGGTTACTGGATATCTCTGCCTTATGATGTCCGATTTCGATGGTGCTTTTTGTATTTGAAAGGTAGAAACTTTAAGTGGAGACCACTTAAAAAACTATTTAACTATAAAAATTTGGTGAAGATCTGATTAGGATCTTCGGCATGATGAGCAAAATCTAGTAAAAAAAGTAAAAGAACTCCTTAAAATGTAGTAAATTGCTCATATAACTTTAGTGGTATATTAATTGTTGGAAAAAAGTTTGTGTTCGCGAGGTCTATTGTTCATAGAACTACTTGTGGTATTATGTACTTGTCTCTTTGTTTTTCTCAGGCATAACAACAATTATCAATGGTCGCAATAAAACTTTGTATATGTCATCAATTAAGAGTATTGAGGAAAAGACAAGAGATAATTTGAAGAAGAAGATAACTGAGCTAGGATTGTACAATGGAGCTGATATACTTGTAGCTGATGCAACAACACCTAACACTCTTACAATAAAATTGAAATTTTCAGAGAATGTTGATGTAGAGATGGGACGATAATAATAAATAAACAATAATTTGATAATTTCTAGAATTTTTGTAATGGCTTGAAATCTCTAATATGATTATTTTGCTTCTTTTACTGTAATTTTAAAAATAAGGCTTAATATATTATTATAAACTATGTTTGAATTGTAATTATACCCAAAACTCAATCCCTACTATCTTTTTCTCATTCTTCAACAAAACTTGGATGAGTATAAATATGTTGGCACATTAACACAAAGCATCATGGTAAGCTACGAGGCTTGTGTTATGGATACCAGATAGTTGATACACTACACATATATAACTTTAAATACATACACATTATAAATACCTATGACTGGAGTACAAGCATTTGTGCTCATCACATAAATGAATGCCTCCAGCGGGACTCAAACCCACGACCGTTGGCACAGCAAGTAGGGTCACTACAAAGTACGCCAAACGTGTCGTCAAATCAAATCAATGTATTTTTTTGCATGTGGGATGCTATATAAATGTTTTTTTTCGAAATAATATAATTAGTTCCTATTCAGAATCAAGTGATTATTATTAGCCTGTTGAAAAAGATATTTAGAGGCACGATTAAGCGCAGCGGGAGTAGATCTAATAAGATATTATAATTTATCGATTATATTTCTTTATGATTTGATCCGGCTATTTGTACCTTGTTCACTACGCGGGTAGTGTTTTAATTATATCAATAATAATAATATGGAATTGAAATTGATGAATATTATATATAATTGTGAGAAAAATCAGGCAGGAATGACGTCAGATATTTTTTTTCGGGATATGGAAGAAGAAAGAAAAGGTTAAGAATAATGGAACTTTCATTTTCGAGTTGAAGCTGAGTATTCATTACTTTTACTAACTTGACCTTAAGTATAATCGCGGGAGAAAGATATACTATATTACTTTTATAATAGAATTAATTTGAAAATGTCTGAATGTAATTTCGAAGTAACAATTTTTATATGTGTGCATTATCAAAACGTTAATAAAACTATATGGGTTAGTAAAACTATATAATTAAGAAATAATTCCTTTTAAATATAAAAAAGAAACATGGAAAAGGAGGATTATACATCAGATTAAATACCTTAGTGTTAATTGTTATGTCATATAATAAATATGTAATTTGAGGGTTAAAAAATTAAAACATTGATATTTACTATTTTTTATGCTATTTTAGTAATTTAATGAAATCTAGCTATTGGTATTTTTGGTAACGGTGTATTGTACATAGTATGCATTTTTTTGCAATGTTGAATGCATTTTATTACGTTGATGTAAAACTTAGTATTTTGTAGTCTATGGTGGCATGGCATGGTTGTTTTGAAGTTTTGATCTGACGTGGTGCTGTCGAGCTGTCGTATCTAAAATTTGGCTTTCTTTCAGGCTAAGGTTAACCAAAACGTACAATTAATAATCCTTTAAACTTATTTTCAATTAAAAGAAACAAAAATGTTAGACAGTTTATTTGACGATGTAAAACGCATGAACAAGAGACAGGTAACTTTCATTGATTATTGTTGAAATAAGATGACGTGAACATAGTACCGGTTGTTATTTGGTGATTTTTATTGTATTTCCAGTTTATTTACCAAGTACTTAGTTTTGGTATGATAGTATCGTCAGCTTTGATGATATGGAAAGGTTTAATGGTTGTAACGGGAAGCGAAAGCCCCATTGTAGTGGTGCTCTCTGGAAGTATGGAGCCCGCTTTTCATAGAGGCGATCTTCTATTTCTAACAAACTACCCTGATGAGCCCGTACGTGTTGGTGAGATTGTAGTTTTCAAAGTTGAAGGCCGAGACATTCCCATTGTTCACAGAGTCCTAAAGCTTCATGAAAAGTAAGTGTCTGAAACAAATCATTTTTTGTACAAATTATGTATATATGATTTATTATACTTGGAAGTGTTCATTTTATAGTAATCATTCTTTTTGTGTAGTAGTAATCTTTGATTTTCTTGAAAGTAATTCAAGAAAACCAAAGACTTATTAGGAAGTTATATTAGTTATTCTATGTTTACATATTTGATTTGAATGGAATATCAAATGATAGTATTGCATTATGTACTACAATAATTCTTTCTGTGTAATAAGATATAGAGCCACTTATTTATATATTTATATTTAAAAATTGTATGTTATGTATAAATCATTTTATTAAATATAAAAATTAACTATTTTACAGAAATAATGGAACTGTAAAGTTTCTTACAAAAGGTGATAATAACAGTGTGGATGATCGAGGCTTATATGCACAAGGCCAGCTTTGGCTAACTAAAAAAGATGTAGTTGGTCGTACTAGAGGATTCCTGCCATATGTTGGAATGGTCACAATTTATATGAATGAATATCCTAAATTTAAGGTATAATTATTTTTAATATGTTGTCTAAAACTACATTTTCTTAATTATGAATATAATTAAAAATGTAATACTATTATTCTTAATTTTGGAAAAATATCGATATTCAAATTTATAATTTAAATTGAATATATTACAATTGAGGATTTTAGATACTGTATATTTTCTGATTATTTCCTTATGGGTTTTTCATCTTATTTATATTAGGTATTAATTATGTAAGAAGTAAAATAATATTTATAACTAGCACTGCTCGCAGCTCCGCCCGCATTCAAATGACCAAAAACCAAATTCTTAGGTTTTAGATTAGTATACTCTTACATTGCAGTTTTTGCATTTTTTCTCAGAAATGAGATTTTTTCCCGCGGTAAAAAGTATCCTATATGTTCACCCGGATATCCAGCTATCACTATACCAAATTTCATCAAAATCCCTCCAGTGGTTTTTCTGTGATGCGGTAACAGACAAAATTCTAAAAACTATAGATTCGGCCTCTGTATCAATAATAATGTTTATTTAAATAAGATTTTCCAAAAAATATTTAATGTACAGATTCGGCTTATTTACAATTTTATTATATGTATAGATATACATTTTTGTTGTTATCAAACTGTAAAGAAATTGCATTATACATATTACATACACTTATTATACAAACATCACAAAAATGAGTACATAAATATCAGTTTTATCTGATATGATATGTATGTTGCCTAATATTTGTTGTATTGAGTGCCTTATTGGGTAAATAATAATATGAGCAAAATAATTACTGGACTTTCTGTCACAAAATACATAGTAGTAGCTTATATTGCAAAGGCTGAAGTGTGATGAGACCTGTGCTTCTGGGAACGTGTTTGTTATTAGTATTGAAGTCCTTCTTGAAATTTATCTTGAACAAATGAATAGAACAGATGTACATCAATTTGTTTATGTTATATAATATTATTATTTATTTATTATAAATTGAATATATGTATCAATCATAAGTAATATTTATGTATTTTATTTAATTATATGTTTGTATTATGACTATATGTAATTTATTATTTTTATATATACTGTAACTTTTTTTAAATTATTTTCTTATTATCTTGCACTTTATTCCTCCGCTAAGTGACAATCTTTCTAAGACTCATAAGTTGACTGTAAGTGATTTCTATATAGTAAAGTATACCTTTGCCCTCAATTTACTCTTAATGCAGTATATTTTAATTTTTATGTGTAATAAAGAATATATTTCAACTCTGTTATTGATTGCAGTTTGCTGTATTGGGATGTTTGGCAATCTATGTGCTGGTGCATAGAGAGTGAAACTTAATGATCTGAAAAGATGGAGGCACTCTGCTATTTGTTATGGACTTGCAGATGTATTTCTTAATAAATGAAGTTCTCTCTACAATGAAATATATTTATTTTTTAAATTTTACCGTCACATTTCTTTATTTCCAAAACAACCACTATTTGAGATTTAGTTTAAAATATTACAAAGTGTGAATGTGATAATAGGGATTCTATTTTTTTTTGTATAATACTAGAGTGTCAATTTTGAATGCTTTCTATATAAAGTGATTTTTTAAAAGATTTGTTTTTAGAGTTGTGGTGAAACTTGAGCATTTTACTTAACTATGTAATTAAAATGATTGTAAAAAACTTAAGATATAGTATATTATATTAAAATAAAGTACTAGAACTTTATTGATTTTACTTTAAAATTACCCCATTCTTAAACAGTTTATGAAAAAGAGGAATTACTTTTGTTGCTATAAGTTTTACAAACGAATAATTAGTAATTAATTTTATGTACCTAATAGCAAATCAATGTTACATTTAAATTACAATTTATACCTGAAAGTGAAATGGTAATTTAAGTATTTGTATTTGTGATCTTAACACGAATAAGCTACTTCTCTTCATAGTTACTTGCTGTATTTCGTAGTAACTGCCTCAGTGGTGTAGTGGCTAGCATGTACGGCTGCACACCCGGGGGTCTCGGGTTGGGCCAAGTTTAGTTATTGAGTCTTTCTGTATAGTAAGTAACAGCCCGGAGTTGGGAAGTTGGCGGTGTTTGACTTCCGTGAAGCCGCCGGTCCTGCGCCTTAACTCACCGATCGTGTCGAATAGTCCTACCGGAGTATGAGAGTTCCAGGAATTCTTATTCCTGTCACTCTCATACTCCGGTATGCACTCTCTTGAGTGCACTTGTGTCTGCGCGCACTCTCTGTTCCTGTGTCGGCTAGTCTCAATGAGATTGGCCGCTGTGGCCGGAATCGGTCAGAGGGCATTATACTTGCTGTGTACAGTATATAGTAAGTAGGTATACAATTTCCTACGAGTAATTGGTTTTTGTATTTTACTTCTGTATTCATTAGGTATTTGTCTCCCTGCGAATAATTTCCATTGGTTGTAATTGTTGTCCATAATTATTCCATGAAACATGCTTTTCTAAATACTAGATTTGCAAAGTTGAATGTTAGGTAGGTTGTAGTCCTGTTAGTATTGCGTAATTATAGTGCATGTATACTAATGATTTCATTATCATTGTTTCGCCAGTATTTGGGGGTCTGTAGAAGAAAATAGTGTTTTCTCTCTAGTTTTCCCATAGAAGTGTAATTTTGTTTGAATTGCAAATTAATAAAAGTTTTGTACACCTCCAGGTAAATTTCTAAGAAATTAATTAAATTCCTAAGAAATATATTGTTAACTGTAACGCCGGCGTGTCCGCGGTCGTTGAGGGATTAAAGTTAATTTGTAATATTATGTGTTCTATGTTTGTTATTACGTCTAATATTGTCATAGGGTGCTTTGCTTTTCCTTGCGTTTTTAGATATTTTACTTTTGCTCTCTGTAGTCTGCTCTTTGGACTCCTGATATATCAGTGTTTTTGATATTGATAGAACGGTTATGAGGGGTTCATCAAAGTTTCTTGTAAATTGAAGGGCAATCCCTTCAAGCATTTGTTGCTTCTCCTTCGTCGCTTGGTTTTTACATAAACGAAGCACAAGCTTTTGATTTTCTCTTACCCAGTATCTCTTACGTCCTCCGTCCTCGACCATCATGCATTTTTACATAGTAGGTACCTACCTCGCCTTCTACAATCCATTTACGAGTGACTTACCCTCGTTTCGCTCTGATATGACCACAGGTACGTTTTGAATAGATAATGTGAATAGTTACAGCGAGTGTACTTTAGGAGAAGATTTATTATATTGCAGATTTTTCTGATTTTTCTGCCTTATTAAGAACTACAGTTTTTTAGTACAAGTACATTGTTTTGATGTACCTACCTATCTCTTAAGGCTTAGCCAGCGTTAGACCTGTGAATTTCTAAGAACGACTCGACAGAACCAGTTATTGTGTTTTCCCGTGGGAATGAAAGATTTTTACTACACAAAATTTAGTTAAAATCGGTTCAGTAGGTAGGTACTTTTTGCGTGAAACGTGAACACAAAAACAGACAAAACACAAAAATTTTAATTAACTATATTCCGTACACAATACTTTACAGTCCTTACAGTTTTCTATACTATAATAAAACAGTAGAGGTCGAATGTCTGTACATAGCAAAAAAATGCTAAAAACCGAGTCAAGGGGTTGTAAGAAGACAAATAGAATAAATCCAGTTTTTTTTTCAATTTTTTTGTTTCTCTGTCTGTTTGTCTGTTTGTACGGGCTAATCTCCGAATCTATCGGACCGATTTAAATGAAATTTTGCATGGTGGTACCTTATATACCCGGGCAACATCTTAGATACTTTTTATCCAGGAAAATTGAAGGGTTCCCGTGGGACAGTCAAAAAATTATAGTAATTTATACAGCTTAGTACACAAAAACTACTGATTGGATTTTGATGAAACTTTACAATAAATAATATAGGTCATACATCAAAATAACAAATAGGTTACTTTTTATCCCGGAAAAATTTACGGTTCCCGTGGGATAGATGTTTTCGTTTATTTGTAACGTATTATGTACACAACATAGAACCCAAAACAATAGTTATTAAAAAAATGTCTGTTTGTCTGTTTGCCTGTATGTCTGTTTGTCTGTTTTTGTATGCGCGTTTCACGCGAAAAGTAATGAACTGATTTCAACGAAATTTGGTGAAGTAATAACTTATTAATCGAGTCAACATTTAGGATACCTTTTACTTCAAGAAAATCTTTCTTTCTTACGGGAAGATACAATAACTGGTTTTATCGAGTCCTCCCTAGAAACCTTCCGCTGGCTAAACCTTAAGACATACATACATTAAAACAATATAGTACTAAAAAAATTTAGGTCTTGAAAAATCCTACAGGAAAGTTCTGAATAGTATATGTATATCTCCTAAGCAATATCTATTCTTATCTATACCTATAATAAAACTAACTTAGTCAAATTGATGTGCGCGTTTCACGCTAAAAGTACTGAACCGATTTTAACTAAATTTTGTATAGTGATAACTTAGTACTCGGGTCAACTTTTAGGATACCTTTTACGACAGGCAAATTATTCATTTCCACGAGAAAACAACAATAACTGGTTCTATCGAATTGTCCTTAGAAATTTATATGGCTAACGCTGGCTCAACTTTTAGAGATAGATCAAAACATTGTACAAGAATATTGTAACTCTTTAAAAGGTCGATAGGAAAGTATATGTCTCTCTCCTAAGGTACACTCGGTATAACTATTTTCATTATTATATATTACTGTTTTATTATACGTTATTTAATCTATCTAAAAATATAATAAAAACTTAAAAAAATAATAAATACCGACTTTTAGGCACTAAAATGCAAAAAATAACTAAACGGGGGTTTTCATTTAGAATAGATACCTAATCAGATATTTTCGGAGTCGGTGCCAGCCGATACAAAGCAAATCTAATATATTTCGATTCTATTCTAAATGAAAACCGCCGTTTAGTTATTTTTGTCATTTTAGTGTCTAGAAGTCGGTTTTTTTAAGTTTTAATTTTTCCATTTTTAGTGTAGATAATAAGCAGGTAATTTGTAAGAAGAGAGTATTTTAATAACATATTCGATTAAACAATTTATTTAAAAAATATATTTATTGTTGATTTTTAAAAAAACCGCTCGACAGATTTCGATAAAATTTTATATGGGACCACCTAGGAAGTATACCCTTTGAAACAAAAAAAAATCCAAATCGGTTCAGGCGTCTTCGAGTAATCAATCGGTGAACATACATAAAAAAAAAGAAAAAAAAGATTCCGACGAGTTGATAACCTCCTCCTTTTTGGAAGTCGGTTAATAAACCTGTAGAGGTCGAATGTCTGTACATAGAAAAAAATGCTAAAAACCGAGTCAGTTATCTTCTTACATCCCGTAAGAAAAAAAAATAGAACAAATCCAGATTTTTTTCAATTTTTTAGTTTCTCTGTCTGTTTGTCTGTTTGTACGGGCTAATCTCCAAAAGTGTTGGACTGGTTTGAATGAAATTTTGCATGGTGGTACCTTATATCCCCGGTCAATATCTTAGATACTTTTCATCCCACAAAATTAAAGGGTTCCCGTGGGATAGTTAAAAAACTGTAGTATCTTATACAGCTTAGTACACAACAACTTATGCACCTAATTTAGTAAAATTTAATATTCTGATACCGTATATTGCCGATCAAACAACAGGTTTTCATCCCGGAAAAATGAACGGTTTCCGTGGGTACTAATAGATCTCTATTGGTGTTTTTCTAGAGGTGAACCCGAGCGAAGCGAGGGTTAGCCGCTAGTTAAAAAATAATTCATGTACAAATTTCGCTAAGTTACTGTTTTATTATAATTGTACTATAAATTGTACTATAAAACTTCAAAAGTTATTTTTAATTTCTGCTCGCAGCGCCGCCTGCGTAAAATGAGTTATTTTCTATTTTTTATTCGATCTTGGGCAGGCTATCGATAAATATTTTAAAACTAAATTATATGTAGTTCAAATAAAATTATAATTGAACTACACGGAAAGTATTGCCGTTATAAAAATTATCACGTGTTAGTTTAGTATACTGACTAGATACTCGTATATCTGCTTATCAAGTCATACTAAATCCGTACAGGTACGAGAGGTTTTACAACTGGGTTACATAAGTTTTATTCTCACAGAAATCTTAATAATATTAAGATTTCTGTGGTTATTCTATAATCGTTGGATATTTGTAACCCAGTCTTTTACGTTCATATTTTTATGTATTATCTATGTAATTTAAAATTTTAAAACCTTCCAAACGTAAAAACAATTTGATTCAATGTATTCAATAATATAAATCTATTACTAAAAATGAACTGTTACTAAAATTACTACTTTTAACGTATT